TGCTCGAAGTTCATTAACTTTCCTGAATCTGTGAGTCTATTGTCTAGTTTATGAAATTTGAAAAATTTTCAACCATTTTTTCTTGAAATACATTTTCTATTTTCCCTTTCCTCATATTTCTTTTTTGCAGAGCCTGATTACATGTATACTAGGCTTCTTGAAGTTGCCACACAGCTCACTGATACTCTATTTGCTAGTCCTTTTCCTCTCTGTGTTTTATTTTGGATAATTTTATTTCTTTGTCTTCAAGTTTACTAATATTTTTTCCTACAGTGTCTGATGTGCTGTTAATGTCATCTAGTATATTTTTAATCTCAGACATCTTAGTTTTCACATCTAGAAGTTTGATTTGGATCTTTTTTTTTATCTTTCATGTCTCTACTTAATATGTTCTAGTCTTTTCTCTAGCTTTTTGAACATATGGAATACAGTTAGCGTAGTGGTTATAATGTTCTTATCCACTAATTCTAGCATCTGTATCATTTTGAGTTGGTTCTGATTATTTTCTCTTCATTTTGAAGTATATTTTTTCTTTTTTTGTTTGCCTATTAATTAATTAATTTATTTATTTATTTATTTTTGAGACAGTGTCTTGCTCTGTCACCCAGGCTGGAGTGCAGTGGTGCCATCACAGATCACTGCAACCTCTCAACTCCCAGGCTGAAGCAGTCCTCCCAGCTCAGCTTCCCAAGTAGCTAGGACTACAGGTGCGCACCACTACATCTACAAAATTTTTGTAGACACAGGGTCTCACTATGTTGCCTGGGCTCGTCTTGAATTCCTGTGCTCAAGTGATCCTCCCACCTTGGCCTCCCAAAGTACTGGAATTACAGGTGCGAGCCACCACACCTGGCCCATGCCTATCAATTTTTTATGAAGGCCAGATATTTTTAATTTTACCTGATGGGTGCTCTCTACTCTTACAATTCCATACATATTCTTATGCTTTTATTATGGGATGCAGTTAAATTATTTAGAAACAGTTTAATTTTTTCGGGTCTTGCTTTTAAGCTTTGTTAGCTGGAACCAGAGTGGCATTTAGTCTAGGGATAATTTTGCCCTATTTCTCAAAAAAAATACTTCTGCATACTCTATATTCCATGAATTATGAGGTTTTCCACTCTGACTCGTGGGAACAGGAGCAATTCTTGGCCCTGTGTAAATTGTCCAACCTAGTTCTTTCAGGTGGTTCTTTCCCCTGCCTTGGGTAGTTTTCTCACATGCGTGTGTTGATTAATACTTGGGAAACTATCAGGGGACCCAGGTGCAGAGCTCCATAGCTGTTTCTCTGCATAGCTCTCTCTTCTCTGGTGCTCTGTTCTGTGAACTCAAGCTGTCTTGGCCTTTCTGGACTCCCAGATCCATTTCTTAATGGAAGAAGACCACCAGACTGCACCCAGATCCCTCCTTCCTGTGCTATGGCCTGGAAGCTTTCTCCAGGCAGAAAACTGGGGGCAATCTTGTTGCCAGCCTCATTTATTTTCCTTCTCTCAGGAATCCTGTCCTTTGTTGCCTGATGTCCAGTGTCTTGATTGTTTCATTTATTTTGCTCATTTTTAACTTTTTTTTTCCATATAAGAGGGCAAATCCAGTCCCATTTTGGCTGGAAGTACGAGTTCAATTATCCAGATTGTTTTTTATTATTGATTGATTGAGACAGAGTCTCACTCTGTCACCCTGGGTAGAGTGCAGTGGTGTCATCATAGCCCACTGCCACCTCAAACTACTGGGCTCAAGTGATCCTCCTGGATCAGCCTCCCTGGTAGCTGGGACTACAGGTGTGTGCCACCACACCTGGCTAAGTTTTCTATTTTTTGTGGAGATGGGGTCTTGCTCTTTCTTGCTCAAGTTGGTCTCAAACTCCTGAGCTCAAGCGATCCTCCCACGTTGGCCTCCCAGAGTGCTAGAATTACAGGCATAAGCTCCCGTGTCCAGCCCAGAGTGATTTTTAAAATCCTACTTCTCTGGTTGTTCTCATTGAAAGGGTTGCTCTGACATATGCCATTCCACTATTGCCAGAAGCCTTTGATCTCCTTTCTAGTTGAGGAGAAATCTCTCCTTCCCCCAGGAGAATGGCCTTCCTTTAACCTTTTTATAATCCCCTTTTCTTTCTTTTTTTTTTTTTTTTTGAGACAGAGTCTCACTGTGTTGCCCGGGCTAGAGTGCCTTGGCGTCATCCTAGCTCACAACAACCTCAAACTCCTGGGCTCAAGCGATCCTACTGCCTCAGCCTCCCGAGTAGCTGGGACTACAGGCATACGCCACCCATGCCCGGCTAATTTTTTCTATATATTTTTAGTTGTCCAATTAATTTCTTTCTATTTTTAGTAGAGACGGGGTCTCGCTCTTGCTCAGGCTGGTTTCGAACTTCTGAGCTCAAACAATCCACCCGCCTTGGCCTCCCAGAGAGCTAGGATTACAGGCGTGAGCCACCGTGCCCTGGCCTATAATCTCCTTTTCTTTACTGCCTCCTCTGCAAACCCTCTTAGTTGTTCTGTGGACTTGGGCTTTTAGAAACAAAAGCTAGGAAGCCTTGCAGCTACTTCTACTTTTTTATTTGTTATATAGTTCCCTTAAAGCAAAAAAAAATACATAGCCATCCATCTACTTAAATAGGAACGAGAGGAGAAGGGAAGAAAAGACTAAATATTCTGTATATAGATATCTCCAAATATTTTCTAACTAAATATATATTCAGCTGCTTTCACTTGCTTCATCCTCAACCCAGGCAAATTAGGCTAGATTGTCCCCCTCCCCATTGTCTCAGCCATTCATTTATTGAGAACATACTAAAGACCAGCTCAGCAGGAGGAAGCATTAGCTTAGAGTTTAAGAGCCTGGGCCCAGCTGGGCGTGGTGGCTCATGCCTGTAATCCTAGCACTCTGGGAGGACAACGAGGGAGGATCACTTGAGATCAGGAGTTCGAGACCAGCCTGAGCAAGAGCGAGACCCCCGTCTCTACTAAAAATAAAAATAAATTAGATGGGTAACTAAAAATAGAAAAAAAATTATCCAGGCATGGTGGCACATGCCTGTAGTTCCAGCTACTCAGGAGCCTGAGGCAGAAGGATTGCTTGAGCCCAGGAGTTTGAGGTTGCTGTGAGCTAGGCTGACGCCACGGCACTCTAGCTGGTGACAGAGCAAGACTTTGTCTCAAAAAAGAAAAAGAGCCTGGGCTCATTAGACAAACTGGTCAGACCCCAGCTGTTCCACTTAAAGGCTGTGTGATTTGGATGTAACTCAATCCTCTAAGCGTCAGTTTTCTCATCTGTAAAACTGGTTCATAACCAGTACCCCTTGGGGGGCCCCTATTGGAATCAGGCTTTCCTCTCTGGAAAGTTTGTTTTTTCAGAAATTCAGAGATGAAGATACGGGCCTTAAAGGTAGTTTCCATGACATCCCCTGCTGCTGCCAGCACACAACCTTCTTTTTGCTTTTCGTTGGCTCTTTTCTCCACCTCTGCACACATTTTCTCTCTGAGGGTGAGGACTCTGATGTTAAAATAATTTGACTTACTGTTGCAAACAGCCCACAGAGTTAGGATGGACCCTCACCCAAAATTTGGCTTGGATGTCATGACCGATGGTGCCACACGCACACTCATCAGGAATGTGTGAAAAGGTTCACTACTCGCATGACGAGGCTTTCTGCCGAGAGCAGGACCAGCTTCCTAATCTGACCCAATAATGGCTGAAAGAGCAGGGAACCAGGGACTAGCTTGGGGTTTTCCTCGTGGTGAGGAGGTGGGGCTGCGGCGAGGCAGGGCTTTGCGTGGTTTGAACTTCCAGCCGGCGCCACAGGAGGGAGTATTGGGCTTTCTCCTCAGCTTGCCCAGTCATGCAGAAGAGGGAGAGGAGGGTGTGAGGCTTAAGAGCTATTAGCCATCAAACATGAAAAAGTAGATTCAGAGTCCATGGCACTCACAGATTAGAGTTTGTAATCATCCTGTTATGCAGACAGATGCTGCCTGCGGAGTTCTGGCAACCGTGGACAGTCTCCCAGATGGGGATGGGGGCAGTTTATACATCATGTGGACATTTATACATCACAACCCAGACATACAAAATTTTACCTTGATTTTCTATAGATGACTACATTCTGCTTTTTAACCCAGTGCATACTCAAGGCAGAACGTAAACTTATACTTGTCTTGCACAGTGCCCTGAAAAATGAGAGCCAGGCCCGCTCGGGGATTTCCCTAACCTGTCTGGAATTTTGTGGCCTTTGCTGATGTCTGACTCTGGGCTGAGGAGGAGTGAGGATGCTTGCTCTACCCTTGCCCTTCACCTCGTCCAGGCTGCTCCCAGAATGGTTTTCATGTCCCCTTCCCGGCAAGAATGTCTTACCTGTCATATCCGTCCTTTTCCCTGGGATAGCCCACTTCAGTGAGCTTTCTGTGACCGTGTCTCGATACTTTAAGAACTGGAAAGGAAAAACTTCCTGTCCAGCTCTTAAAGGGGGAAAGAAAATAAAGTGGTGAATACATTTTAAAAGTCCAGTTTCATGTTTATCTCCTGTCAAAAGGCCAGTGTCTCTTCTACACCATTTAAAATAAAACTTGAGGCCGGGCGCGGTGGCTCATGCCTGTAATCCTAGCTCTCTGGGAGGCCGAGGCGGGCAGATTGTTTGAGCTCAGGAGTTCGAAACTAGCCTGAGCAAGAGCGAGACCCCGTCTCTACTAAAAAATAGAAAGAAATTAATTGGACTACTAAAAATATATAGAAAAAATTAGCCGGGCATGGTGGCGCATGCCTGTAGTCCCAGCTACTCGGGAGGCTGAGGCAGAAGGATCACTTGAGCCCAGGAGTTTGAGGTTACTGTGAGCTAGGATGACACCACGGCACTCTAGCCCAGGCAACACAGTGAGACTCTGTCTCAAAAAAAAAATAAATAAATAAATAAAATAAAATAAAACTTGAATATATACCCCTGTGTTTTCTGCATTTGCCAATTAATTGGTTTGTGCTAATTTTCATTTTATTTTATTTTTGTTGTTTAGGTTTTACTGCTGCATATCCAACACAGTCCTCCATTCCTTTTAAATCCCAAGTTTCAGCAGTTCCAGAATCAGAAAAAAAAGGATTCAATAGTCAAGCCAAGAGATTTTATCATAAGGAGGTAATGACATCATCTTACAGTTTCTTTAGTTTCAGTCTAGATTTTGGCCTCACGGGACAGGCACATCCTGTCTGGCTGCTGCGTCTCTCTGTGGACAGTGGAGGGCAGTGTCATCCAAGAAGCCACATGGCCTTCTTCCTGAGGGGCACTGACTGGACTGTAGCAAGGAGCTGGAAAAATGTGACATCCAGGGAAAACAACTATGTCCAGACTTAGGGTGCCTAAAATATTGAACTGGACCAAAACTATTTTTAAGAAAAAATATATTTTAAAAATCATTATAAAACTAAAAACTTCAAAAAATCTCAGGTGTATCAATAAAGTAAAAGGTTAAAAAAAATCCCTCCTCCTACTTATAACATGAGAGGAAATCATATGACTTTCTTCAAATAACATGAGGGGAAGAAGCCTCTGATAGATTTAGAATTGCCTTTGTGATGAGGCCCACCCCCTCCCCCTTTTAAAAATTTCCTAAACAACGTGGTGTTGTTATTTTTGTATTCCCCCTCACTCCATCCCTTCCCTAAATCTCACTGTGTCTCTTTCCCTCTCTATTCTGGAAAGTTCTGCATGGTTTCAGATGGGCCCTTATTTTTAACCTTTGGGTTTTCTGGGGTCTGACTTTCTCCTCACTCACCAGCAGGGGGCTGAAGCAGCCCACAGGCATCCTTAGAGTCTTTAAATTTTTCATTCCTTTACTCATTTAAGCAAGACCTTTGGAATAACATACTTTTCAAGGAGTCATCATCTCAGTTACCTTTTGCTGCATTCTAAAAACGGTTTTCGTCCTACCACCTTGCCCAGATGGCAGAGAGGAGATGAGGAGGTCTAGGTTCTGAGCGCAGGTGAGGCATGAAGTTGAGGGTCTTGGCATGTCCCCTACCCTTGGCCTGATTCCTCCTTGGTAAACAAGAACTCTGAACTAGAGAATGTTTTAAGTTTCTTCCACTTCCGATATTTTAAGATTCTAACAAAGCAAATAATAAAGAATATAGTGTACACATACACACATTTTTTTTTAATAACTTGTAGGTTTTCCTCAAAGAAGATACATATTTGCTCCGACGTTTCTCTCTTCTCTCTCTAGTTTCTCTGTTTTAACTGTCTGTCTCCCATTTTCTGTCTGGTTTCCCATTTGCAATTTCATGATACTATATTGTCCATCTCTAGGATATTTGTAGCCCAGCCTCCAATAAAAATAATAGAAGCCACCATTTACTCATCCCTACTATGTGTCAAATCATTTTTAGATTAACTTTTATCTCCAATCCTCAGAACAATGCTTAAAGGAAGAGTTTATTGTCTTAATTTAATAGAAGAGGAAACCGAAGATTAGGGAAGTTAAATGACCCACCCAAGGTCATACAGCACAGGGTTTGGCACATAAGAGGCTCAAAATAAATGTTTGCTGAATCAACATTGAAAGAATTAGACCTCAACCTAGGTCTAGCTCACTCCAAAGCCTCTTGATCTTTCCACACACTGTACCACGCCTGCCTTTGTGGCCTGCAAAGCCATAAATTTGGTCTATGAAAGTCAGCAAGTTTCTGAAAAGGCCTTAGCAAAACAGACCAAGCTCAAGACCAAGGAGAATGTCAGCTCATGTCTGTGTGTTCCATGCTCCATGCTCTAGTTCTGAAGACTCAAATCCAGAAATCAAAGAGTTAGCATTTAAAGGACTATTGCTTTTCAGAGCATTTACTACTGAAGAAACCAAGGTGGCAGCCAATCAAAACTACAGGCAGTGTCAAACAGAGAGAAATAGCTCAGAAGGTTTGTTCCGACTTTTAAAATGTGGTCTCATTAGTTTGACAACATGAAAACTTTCATGTAAGTATTTGTAGCCATTTTGTAAATAAGTATTGAGTTTTATGGAAAGAGCATGAGATCCATGAGTCAGACTGTGTTCTAGTCTGTCACTAGCTATGTGCCTTCAGACCAGTCACTTGACTTTTCTAGGCTTCTGTTTTCTTGTTGGAAACATAAAATTTTGATTACATAATTTTTGAGGTCTCTTCAAGTTATAAAAATAGAAAAACAAATTCTTACTCTGTGCTCATTCTTATTTTTCCTGAGGGAAACGAGCATTGAGAAATAAAGGATCTTGTTTAACATCACCCAATAATTTAGTGAGGCAATACGAATTAAACAGATTTTCAATCTGCAGTGCCTCACCACCCTTCTTACAGCATTAATCACACACACCCTTGTGCATGAGCTCACATTTGTCCTGTGGCCCACTTAGCACGTCTCTGACAGAGAGAATCAGTGCCCTCTGAAACGTGCACTTACCTCATTAGGCTCACTTTGCCATGAAACATCGGGGCCTCCTTGCCCAGCTCATAGCTCCCGTAAGAATCTGACTGCTGGGTATAAGGAATCCTTCACAGAGCGCATTGTCTGGACTGACAATTTTGGCTGCTAGAAATGAAGTCTGTTTTTCTAAACATTTTCAAATTATTTACATATATGCTGGTAACTTTGCATACATGAAGAGACATGCCCAATCTGTGCGACAGAGCACAGCCCGGCTGCCTGCTGGGCATTTTCTTCCCCCGCCTCCTTGTTTGTGTCTTCATTTCTCTCAGGATCATGGTTCTCAAACTGTGTACCTCTATGGATACCACTTAATATGTTCGCATCTCCCTTTCTGTGTCTTAAAAATAAGGACACTATTAATATAACAGGTAGGCCCTTGCCAAGAATTACTATTCCATGGTTCCAAACCTGACCCTTCCAGGCTCAAATGAAGGAATACTGGTAGGTCACGCACACCATGCCCTCTTGATGGGCACAATTTAGAAATACATGTTAATGCCACACATAGCCTAACCGTGAATCTGCCCTCCCAAGTGGTAAGCCAGCCAGTGCTTCATTTGTGGTGAAGTTGTATAAAGTTAATACTGTTCACTTACTAACTTGATAAGACACTGATCCAGGGATCATCAAGTGAGAGGAAGTTCGGTTTGTAGAGGTCACCATGACAATTGCCCCACATGTGCCCTCAGCTGCATGTTTGACCCACAGTGGGCTCTGCCCTACCTTCCTGCTCTGTGAAGCCTGCCTTCTCCATAGCGGTCACCAGTACCCCTTCCTAAGGAGCCTGCAGGACATGTTCCATTCCCGGTAATATCAAACACTTGGCTGGCACTGACAACATGCCAGGCACCCCTTGGAGACCTTTGCATTTTTAAACTCGTTTAATCCCTGTAATAACCCTGTGAGCTAAATCCCATCAGTAGCCCCACTTTTCAGATAATGACCCTGAGACGAAAAGAGAGTGAAGTAACTTGCCCGGCAAGGGTTGGGTAGAGCAAGGATGGACCCAGGCTGCAGCTCCTGGTCCCCAGCATTCAGAAGCCCACCACCCTCCCCATGGAAGTAACTTCCGCAGCCGCGCCCACCTTCTACTCGGCGTGAGGGTAATGCGTGTGCACGTCTTATCTCCACCACTCCTTAGCAGTCATTGCTGTCCTTTCCAGACCCCCAGACCCCTCAAAAGTGGATTGCATGAATGATCCCCACTCAAGTCTATGCACTTCCTGTCAGGCCACAGGCACACATCTGTCCATTGTGCCCTGTTTTCATGCGCCTCCTTCATCCCATTCCTAGAACTTGTGAGCTGCTAACAGGTTGTACCTATATCTTCACCGCTCAGCACAGGCCCTGGTGCACAGCAGGTTTCAGTCAATGTCTGCTGAGTTGAATTTTTGCCCCCATCTCACTCAGGGGATTTCAGGGAGCTGCTAATAATCTGGTACCAGATTGGAGAGAGAGGAGGGCACTGAAAAGAGGACAGTGGGGACTCTTAGAGACAAGCCTGGTCTTAACCAGTGCTCTGAAAACGCAGGGTTGGTTTCTCCTGCCTGTTTCCAACCTAGCGAGGCCAGCGATGGGCAGAAACCTGGTCCCCCTTTTCATCTGCTCAGGTGGCCAGTGTCACAGCTGCCCTCCCTTCCCCACACCTGCTCTTCACCTGGGAGACAAAGAAATACTCATTTAAGGAAACTCTCCTCCATAGAACTCATTCTAGTTTTCCTGGTTGCTCCCTTAGGGCTCCAAGGGCCCTTCCATTTCTGTCCTCATCCCCCATTTGGAACAAAAAAGTATTTTCTTACTTGAAGAACGGTTGCAGCCTCTCCCGTTTCTCCTGTGCTCAGAGGTGTAGAAACTCTAAAGCCAGCACAGCATGTGGGGGGAAGGTGAGAAGCAGAACGGAGGAAGGGCATCTTACAAGGAGCAGGTCTCAGAATCAGTTGAGCCAGAAGGGCCTTTGACACTAGAATGCTTTCTGTGGCAGCATCTCATGCTGGAGCCCATCTGTAAAACAGGCAAAGGGGAACCACTGCGTGAAGCTGTCTCTGTCCCTGGGTAGCTCATGGAGGCCAGGAGTGCAGTTTGAGACCCACGGATCTTGCCCACCCCCTTCCTCGCAGGTTCCCAGGAGAGGCGGCGTGCCCTGGGGACAGATGCCAGCTGTCCTGCCTTCTGGGCCATACCCCCTTCACCTCTTTGGCCACAATCAAGCTGAGTAAAGGCTTTCTACCCTTGGATGAAGTCAACAGGGTGGATTGACACATTGTCCTGAGACTCTAAGACCAGGGGCATTTCTAAGAGGAAACCGTTCCCTCAGGAACTCTGAATTCCTGTGCGGTTTGCCAGTGGATTAACCACAGGCCAGGGCTCTGCTTCCACCTCAGGCATGTCCTCCTCTTGTTTCTATACCTCTAGCCCTTTAGCGAACTCCTTATTTTCATTCATCTTGTGCTCATCTGAGCAACACCAGCTAGCCACCCCCAAGTAGACCAAAGCAAGGTGGGACATCTTTGAAGAGGCAAAAGGCAGATCTTGCATGGTCTTCAGCCAGTGGTCCAACAGAAAGTGCATTTTCCAAGCCAGAAGATGGTTTGGCAAACCACTGATTTGATAAACATGAAAGTGTGAATTGGACAGAATTTATGAAATTAGGACTAGAAAGTCCAGAGTGTATGAAGATGTAACTGGCTCTAGGCTGTGGAATTTTTTTTTTTTTTTTTGAGACGTTTTCCAGTCTCAGTAGGCTGTGGAATGTTAAGTCCTCCCATACCACATGGAGACACCTGGCGTGAGGAGGTAAGAGCGCTGCTTCCTCTCTTCCCCTCCTCAGTTCCTCTCCAAGCCCACCCCAAGTGCATGTGCGTCGTTGTCCCACTCTTGGCACATGCAGAGGCTGCCCATCCAGGACTTTGATCCTTCAAAAGGGCTCTCAGAGTACATTTCAACCAAATGTCACCCCGATGTGTGTGGTGTGGGAGATGGGAACACATCAGCCAACCACCCCTTGCTCAGTCCCACTCTGGAGGTTTTTAACTCCCGAGGGAGGGCCCTGGCTCCATTCAGGCTGCTGTGGGCAATGCAACGAGGGATGAGGAGGAGGAAGAGGAGGATTGTCGGTGTGCATTGGGACTGTTCTACCCCTCTACCTGCATTGACTCATTTAATCCTCGAACTACGAGGCAGGTAGAGGAGATACAGCACCATGCTTCAATAGAGCACTCAATAGGCAGGCAGTAGAGCTCTAATAAGTGTGAGTTTTCCACCTTGTCCATCCATACACCCATTTTTCTTGTTTGTTTATTTGGTTTTTGCCTTCTCAGATGGTCTTGGCCAAGAAACCAAGGGGTGGCTAAGTTCACACCAGTCACAACTTGGATTTGTGTTCTCTGGGATGTGCTCTGAGAGGCCTAAACTCATCAGAGTCACAAAATGTCAGTCATATGAACTGTTGTCCCACAGGTGAAAGGTCTGGATTTTTACTGCCCTTCCAGAGAGCTGTCCATCCACCTCCGGAAGTGGCAGGAGAATGCCTAAATTCTCCGCACTGCTCATTGCCCTCACAGACACCTACTTGAGTGCTGCACGAAGGTAGTGGTCTGCCTGGTAAACCAGCTCTCCCTTCCACAACAAAAAATTCCGATTTAGCAGTTGCCAATTTTGCTGGTGTAAATACTCCAACCGTGGCCAATTTCAAGCTATCACTAGCAAAATTTCTAAATTCTTAACAGTTGTCCTCACAAGTGGCCCCGGCCAGCTCCAGCGTGCTGCTGCCTGGAGGACTGTCCCTGGACAGTCACTAAGAGCAAACAGGTCGCACTCCATTCCTCCAGGCAAGAGGTGACAGCCCTCTTCCTATTTGCCCTGGACTCAAGCCAACTGACAATGTGGCAGAATTAAAGCATGATTAAGGCCCAGTAGTGTTGTCAGCTTCAGCAAATAAAAATACAAGATGCCCAGTTAAATTGGAATTTCAGATAGATAATAACTATTCTACTATAAGTATGTCTCAAATATTGCGTGGGATATGGTTATACTAAAGTAGCTATTTTTTTTTATCTGAAATTTGAATTTAAGTGGGCAGAGATGGAACAGGTTTTGTATTTTATCCAGCAACTCTATCTCCTCAGACGCACGAGGGCACAGAAAATTCTCGTGAACTGATGGTCAGGTTGAGAGTGTGATGACAGACTGGGAGCTGGAGACGTGCGTCTTCACTGTCCACTGCTTAACCTAGACGAGTCAGGTGACGCTTCCTGCTTCAGCTTTCCCTTGATCCAGGGACTCTGGAAGCTCAAAAGCATCCCAAAGCCTGACACCTTGCATTTGCAAACAAGAAACTGAGACCCAAACAGGTGATTTGCTCAAGATCACTTAGCTTGTAGCAGCACTAGAAGTTCTGATTCACAACCCAGTGGGACTTTTCCCTTTTTATCGTATACAATCTCATTTGACAGTTAGCTTGGTTTTGTGGTTAAGAATAGACTGTAGTCAGGCTGCCTGGGTTCAAATTCTGGCTCTGACGTATACTAGTTTTGTGATCTTGGACCTTATCTCTTTTGGCCCCATCTTCTCGTCTTTAAAATGGAGATTAAATGAGCTAATAATATATGCAAAGTACTCAGAACAGTGCCTGGCACACACTGAGCACTCAGTAAATCGATGCTTGCCCTGCAAACAGCTCTGTAGAAAAATCTCTTCCTTGTTTCCCTGTAGCACTTCAAATCTGCATCCATGACACTACGGTTCTTCTGAACTCCGGGCCTGGGGTGCTTGTGTCTCTGGTTCTGCTGTGCCTCTTGCTGCCTGTCTCACTGTCCCTGGCAGTCAGTTCCCCTACCCATTCACCGGGTGTCAAAATCACCTATAAAGCAGGAATCAGCTCCCCTGCCCTCACCTGCTGTGGCGCAAGGGTCAAAGGAATCACTGCATTTAAAAGTCAGCACAGAAGAGCCTGCTAATAGCACTGGGACCCTATCCCTTACGTTAAACCGTAATTACACACTGCCCTAGCCAGACTAGGAAGTCCTGGAAGGCACTGATGGTGACATGAGTTTACTTTCTTCCCCAGGGAAGGCAGTAGGGGTGGTGGAGACAGAATGAGCCTGGGTGGCAGAGATTGGAGCTAGCAAGCTCTGGAGTCAGGCTGCCTGGATTCCAATCTGGCGCTCACCACTTACTAGCTGTGGCCCAATGTCTCATCTCTGGGCTGCAATTTCCTTAAAGTGGTCCTGATAGTACCTCACTGCAGAGGGCTTGTGTGGGGCATGAAGGAGCCAGCACACGCCACATGCTTTGCACTGGATTCAGGTACTGCCCCTTATATCAGTGGGACCTTGGGCAAATCCATCTCCATGTGCCTTAGCATCTCCATCTATAAAATGGGGACGATAATCCCTTCCTCCGTGGGTAATGGTGAAAACAAGACAAACTTCGGAAAGCTCCTAGTACCAAGTAGGTAACCAGTAAGCTCTCTTGACAGTGGAACATCCTTATCATTTCACGCCACTTGCTTGGCTAACTTCTGTCAACATTTACTTCCCCCTGGTAACCAGCATGGGAAATGAGATGAAAGCCCATTTAGCTGCAACAGCAGAAATGGGCTTAGAATCCAATTGTTTATTCCTCCCTAACATACCTGCCTCATTTAGCACTTGAGCCCTGTGAGCTTGCCTCGTTTTGTCTGAGAGTTAGAAATGGTCTCGTTTGGGAGGAAGGTTGTTTTTGTTTCATTTTGCTTTATAAACAGAAACACTCCCTGATTTCTCTTCTGAAAGGCTGAGGAGGAAGCTGAGTCAAGTGGGGTGCGGTTGACATGAAATCGGTCACCCTTCCCTCGCCATGGGTTTGTCTTACCCAATTGCTACACACTGACTTGCACATCAGTCACGTTTGGTATCCCATTTTATGCTCATTTCTCTACTGACGTGAAAACACAACAGTATTCTTTTGGAATGCAGTACGGCATAGTGGAAAGAGCAAGGCTTTGGGAGTCCTGGCCAGGGTTGGAATTCCAGCCTCACTGCTTGGTAACCGAGACGAAGACGGGGCAAGTTAGGAAATGGTGGCGCAGGCTATCATCCATCGAGTGGTGGTGGTGCCTGTCCCGTAGGATTACAGCGAGGCTGAGTGTTAATGGGCGTAGTGCTTGTGGAAAAGCACAGTGGAATTGAACGTATTCTGATGACGCCACATTCTCCTCCCTTTCAGGATGATCTCCCAGGTCCTGGTTTCTACAATGTCATTCACCAGTCTCCAGTGTCCAACAGTGTCTCATTGTCCAAGAAAGGAACGTGCACTTTCCCCTCTATGGTGAGAGCCACTTCTCTTGAGTAGGGGTGTTAGCTGGTCAGTGATTCCTTCATTCATCACAGTCATATATTGGACATCTGGTCCCATTTCTCCAAAGTCCTGTGGTTCTAATTAGGAGAGGAACCACCTCCTCAAACTTCTCAGGTAAATTGGACCCCGTGTCCTTAAGTAATTTTTTCCTTACTGTCACCCATTGCCACTGTGGGAAGAGAAGCCAGAGGACTATTCAGAACCTGATTATCCAAAACCAATTTTGTCATCATTGAGTGACCTAAGCAAGTGTTTTCCTGAGATTTTTAGGCATACCAGGAAACTGTTACTCTTACACATCTTGCCCTAATGTGAGTTTTACGCTGCTTAAATCTGATTGGGTTGTCAAACTATTAAGAAATCTGGTGGGACCAAAAAGAAAGCAGACAATGGGCCTGAAATTTAGGGGTTTCCCATCCCATTCCTATTCTTCGTAAGATGTGGGACTTTATCTTTGTCAAGGACTCTAACAATCAAATAGCTACATGAAGTACCAATGACTCTGATCAGACTTGGGCAAAGATAGTTTCTTTTTCCCTCCTTCTCTCTCCTTCTCTCTCTCCTTCTCGCTCTCCTTCTCTCTCTCTCTTTCTTTCTTTCCTTCTTTCCTTCCTTCCTTCCTTCCTTCCTTCCTTCCTTCCTTCCTTCCTTCCTTCTTTCCTTTCCTTTCCTTCCCTTCCCTTCCCTTTCCTTTCTTCATAGTCTATTTCTTAAAAATATTTATAAACTGTCAAGAAAAACAGATATAGCAACAAGAATAGATATAGCAAAATAGATAAACTGCCAAGAAAAATAGAGTCAAACTAGGGTAAGGCTAGCTGAGCTAGAAAAATGAAGAGGAATGCAAACCCAGACTCCAACATTAACAAAACACACATGCCTTCTCGTCCCTTTCAAAGTTATTACAATCTCTTGCATAGATGTATTATGATGCCTGACATTGGAATTGATTTTTTTTTAAACCACACAAAGGGACCATTTAAGACACACTGAATGCAGCCACTTCTTATTGGAATGCGAGTTTGGCAGAGTTGGGTACTCAGGGAGCAAACCAACTTTGGAGTTAACTCCCCCTTACCAAAGAAGTTGAAGTTGCACATGCCCTCAATGAATTCACAGAACAGCCACGCCTCTACCTATTTTTCTGCCACTAGCCTGGCTAGGAAGGACTCAAAAGCAATTGGGAAAAGAAGTGCTGTCTCACAAAGTCTTGGCACAGGAGACAAAACTGAAGACCTAATCCTGACTCAGCTGTGGATTCTTGATGTGACCTCAAGCACGTCACCCATCTGTGTCCTAGTTGCCTCATGAAAGTGGAGACTCCCTGGAGGCACTGGGCAAATTAACATTGTAATGAGTGAAATACTCTTTGAAACAGCAAAGCATTATAAACATGCTAAATGTTATGATTGTTACCACCTGAGTCACAAACAATACTTCCTGCAACATCTAGGTTTTCTCTCCGAGAACTTCTTTGCCAAATAGTGGCACTGCCCATTCCTGGGGCACTGCCCATTCCTGGGGCACCATTCCTTTTGGTGCCAAAAAAGGGACTGAATCAGAGCACACGATCAATCCCCTACCAGGCTCTCCGTGCAGTAACTTTCCAGATGGCAAGGCTGGGCCGTCAGGAGGAGAAGGTGGCCTAAATGAAGATCTGAGTTTTATAGAAACTAATCATACCTTTCAGATTATTAAAAAAATTCAGAACCAAGCCCAAAAGAGGGCAGACATTGGGTTGTTCAGGCTTCCTCCTCTCCTCCCTTTGATAAATGTGGGGATTTGTTTTATGTTTATGTTACACGCAAGTGTAAACACTTAAATTCCTGTGTCCGTGGGTGGGAGCCTTCAGTGGCTGACGGAGACCTGCCAGGACGTCCCTACGTCTTACCTGGTCCCTGTATGAACTGGACAAGAATTTCCTGTCTTCACCCTTCTTTTAGTGACTTTCATATTATTGATAGCACCTCCTCCACTTCTGGATCCCAAGACTCTGAGGGAATTAAAAGTAGCCATCATCAGAGAAAGATCAGAATGACCAGGAAGAGTGTGATTGTGGGTGAGGCTGACCAAGAATTTCTGTGGGTCTATAAATTTTAGAAACTTCCTGATAACTGTTGCAACAATTACACCCAACCTTTTGAGAGGGCCTGTCATGTCTCTGAGTCCGAATGACATAAAGAGTTGTATTAACACATTTCAAATCTTCGCTCTAGAGTTTTCCACAGGACTGACTAGGAAGTGAAATGAGGCAGGTGGGTGGACACTCTGATGGCCTTTCTGTATTTGTATGGTGGTGGGAGGGGTTCTGGAAAAGTTAGTGTGTGCTGGAGAGAGGATCATAAATGCCAGGATGTGGCCAGATTGGAGACCACAGGCCTGGCAAGTAAACCAAGGGGTGTGTAGTGTTGGTGAGTGAGTGTTACTTTAGCTATACTCTGAGACTAATTCTATTATTACAATACTTTATAAAATTTTGCCCCTACTGGGAACTTTTTTAGAACATTTTTTTTTCTCAAAATGTATGTTAATAGGTATTCTAAACCTGAAAAGAGTCTATGATCAAATAAGCTTGCTATTATTCTGGGGCCATGCCTCTCAACCCATTTCTCTGTAGAATGGGATATCTAATCCATATCACAGAGTGGAGGCAGACTGCCTGGGTGAAAGTGTTGGCCCTACCACTTAATCAGCTGAGGAAGTTCAGTTTTCTCATCTGTAAAGTGGGGATAATCATAATACTAATGATAATACTAATACTACTCAGGGTTCTTGTGAGCATTACACACAAGCACCCATGAAAAGAGCTTGGTTAACTATTAGCCAGAATGCAAAGGCAAAGTATGTTCAAGGCTGGGGCAATCTTACTTCTGGGAACATCAACACATCTTTATAATTAGAAGAAGGCAGAGCTGGGACTTGAACCCAGGTTAGGCTCTGAACAATTTAGGTTGTAGGCAAGAGCACTCCTGCTGCTGGTGGAGCACTCGCTCACATCCCCTGGCGGTCCATAAACCAGGTGTTGAGGACCATCACCACCAGGCCCAGAGCGAAGTGGGGGCCCTAATGCGTTCCCCTCTCTATGCTTGCATAGTTATTGACCCCTATCAAGCAGAGAAAACCCAGGGCGATGTTCTCAAGCTTTCGACTATTAAATAAGGAGAATTTTTTTGCTTGATCAGGCTCCAATACTTGCCATGCTATCTGAGGGTAAAGTGATGTTATCGCCAAGTTTCTATGGCTTTTGTCCCCATTCATTTGACAAACATTGATTCTGTTTGTTTTTTTAACTGAAAATAGTTTATCAGAGCTTCCTGAAAGGAGTGGGATTGGTTCTGTTAAACAGCAAAAATATTGCAGGGTTTTATGAAAACAGTAGTTTGGTGGGGGTGGGGCCACATGGACAGCACACCCCATGGAGCCTCATACCCTTAAAATGTTCGAAGCAGATGCACAGTTTAGGTATTTCACATCCTTCAGCCTTAGAAACAAGACGTGAGGTTTTACTCAGAAGGAAAGCCTAGGATAGGGGAAGAGAGTCTAAAACTTCCCGTCACGTAAATTACCCAACAGCTGATGAGTCAAGTGTAAGTGTCCTGGAACAGGATTGGGTGGAAATGCATTTATGGCAAAATTATTTTTGCCAAGTCCCAAACAGAAGATGAATAATTTGAGTTAGTTTACAGAAGTTAGTACATGTTTGAACCTGCATTTTCCAAGGGCGAATCCTCAAAGCCTGAGGTCAGTTTATCGTTGTTACCTGCTAGTTTCACCTTTTAGAAAATACTTTTCGACCTGGTGCTGGGCACCATCTTTTTGATATCTGTCCTTCAGAGCCACAGGATTACGGGGCAGTGCTGATTCCCTGGGCTTTCTCCTCACAGCGCGCCCGATTGGATACCAGCATTTCTAAATATCCTGCAGCTAATGCATACACTATCCCATCAGACTTTATTTCGAAGAAAGACTTCAGTAATTCCTGTTCCAGCATGTTCCAGTTGCCAAGCTTCGCAAAAATTCTCAAGTCTGAAACTCCTGCACCAAACTATTACAATGTAAGAACACCACATATGCTTGCTAAATATGTCGAATGAATGGCTTACTAAAATAAAAGGGAGGGGGCAGCTTGGGGAAATAGCATTTTAATGCAGTTGGCAAGGCAGTTAGCATTTGTTGACTACGCAACCGGTGCATAAAGGCTGTGCGAGACTCTTGTCGGGAGTTTGCAGATGCCAGAGAGAAGCGTGAGCAACATGGAGGCCAGTATGAGGCCGCAGGAAGACCACTGCCCCGAGAAATACTTATTCTAATCACTCTTGTCATACAACCTTTCTGGGACACAGTTTTCTCATCTGCAACAATGGATATATTATTTATGACTTTATCTGCCGACACTATTCATTTACTTTTCAGGTTCTTCTAGGGAAAATAAACTTCTATCCTTCCATAGCAGAAAATTGTTTTTTTAACAGTAGTGCTTTGCCAGTTATGATCACTTTGTATTTGCTGAGGCAGAATGGTATGGACGGTTAAGAGGCAGATTCAGGAGGGTTTGGTTCAGCTTTTGACTTGGCCACTTTCTAACCATATGGCCTTGGGCAAGTTCCTTGGCCTTTTTGGGACTTAGTTTATTGATCTGTAAAATGGGGGTATATGTCCACCTCGTAGTGTTAATGCAGGTATTAAATGAGATAATCCATGCCGAGTGCTCAGCACAGCACCTGGCACACAAGGATGACACAATACATGGGGATTGGTAGGGCTGTCTTTGGACAAGTCAGTTTACCTCTTGAGCCACAACTGTAAAATGGAATTGATTATATTTCCCCTACAGGGTTATCACAGGAAACAAGTGAGACACACACGTGAAAGCACTCTGAAATGCATAGATATGAATTATATTTAAGATATTAATGTTATCATGCCATATTTCAAACTATTTTGGTCTTAGAATACTTCATTTTCAATTTCCCTTTTCTCATATAATACTTATAAATAATATTTATTGTTCTGACTACAAAGATCCTGCCCACCTCCTATGATTGATTCAGCTAATTATAATGTGCCCAAAGTAATATAATGCCTGCTAGGCCAGTACTGTCCATAGAAATATAATGGAGCCACCAATGTCAATTAAAATTTTCTAGTAGCCACATTTAAAGAAAAAGGAATAGGTGAAAATAATTTTAATAATGTATTTTATTTAACCCAGGAGATCCAAAATATTATCATTTCAACATCTAATCAGTATAAAAATTATTAATTAGATATTTTAGGGACATTCTTTTTCTCATACTAAGTCTTTAAAATCCAGTGTGTATTTTATACGTACATCACATCTTGCTTTGGACCAGCCACGTTTCCAGAGTCGATAGCCACATGTGGCCTGTGGCTGCTGTAATGAGCAGCACAGCCTCTATAGTCTCCCCCTGGGACAAAGCTGGAAAATGATAACAATGGTGATGAGGATGGTGAAGCACTCTTCATGACTGAGTGCTGCTCTGAGAGTTATGTATTCATCATACTTAATACTCGCAAGTGAATCTGTGAAGTCGATTCTCTTATTCCCAATTTCTAGAAGAGGAAGCTGAGGCTCAGAGAGGTGAAAGGATTTGCCCAAAGTTACCCAGATTGAAGGCATTATTTGTGCATCAGTGGGCATGGGTGGGTGGCTGAGATGGAAAGCTGGGGAATGGTCGAAGTCACCGTGTTCTGGTCCTGCCAGGCTTCCCATCGTGGGTCCTGTTGCTACTTGGTGCCAGGCTGGTGATATGGCTTAAACTCCAATGGGGAACTCAGACAAGAACTAGTAAATAGACAAACAAAATAATTACAAACTGTGGTCAGCCTTGAGGGAGACAAACAGCTGGAGCCTGAGAGAGAATTTGTGGGGGTCCAAGGGGTTGGCGGTACCCTGTGCTTTAGACTTGGTGGTAAAACAAGGTTCCGAGGCTGAGACCCAAAGATTGAAGGAAGTGCCAGTGTTGGGGTAACCACATGTGCAGAGGTCCTGGGACAGCGTAGAGCTTAGCCCCTGAGGATGGAATGACTAGTGTGGTATGAGCTAGGAGGACAGGGGAGAAGGGGAGGCCATGTAGATAGGCAGTGGCCAGTTTGTGGGGCAGGGTCCGAAAGACCCCAGGAGGGAGTTAGAATTTTGTTCTCTGTGTACTGGGAAGCCCATGAGGGGGTGGGAGATTTCATGCTCTGTTGTGCTTTTTAAAAAAGCTCCCATCAGCTGCTGTGTGGAGAATGGAGTGTGGGTTAAGAGTGGTTTCCTGGAAAACCAGAGAGGAGACTGTTGCACTAATAGGAGAGAGGACAAGGTGTGGTTGGAGAAAGGGATAATGAAGGTGCTTGGCCATTGCCCCTTTGCCATTCTCGAGAGAGGACCAGGTTACTTGGGACACAAACACGGGTGCTGCCTCTGTCCGCATGGACGCCTCTCTCTACATCCTCCTGGTGTAGCCGAAGGGTGCCATATTAGAGTTTCATGTGTTGGCTTCCCCAACCCACTGCCTGCTCCTTCACTCCGCTTCCTGTGTCCAGCACCCAGCACAGGTGCTAGTATGCAGTAAGCATGCAATAAATGTTCATGGCATTGAAGGAATAACTCCCCAGTAGTTTACAGTCATTAATCTAGAAATTACCATTTCTCAAGTCAAAATTTTGTCTTTCTGCCAATAGATCAATTTTAGGTGCATGTTTTTTTGTTCATTATTGTATAAATATGACTCCAAAAATAATTACACGCTCATCATAAAATGTATTCAAGCACTGTAGAAACCCATGAACTAGAAAGTAGAAGTCCCTTATAATTCTACTCTCCAAAGAAAACCACCACCAAAAACCAGGGGTGATTTCTTTCATATTCTCTCCTTCCCTCCATCCTTCCACCAGAATTAGGATTATGCCGTACCTGGTACACATGCATTGTTTTCTTAACTATATCTAGGATTTCTTTCCATGGCAATACAATAAATCTGCTTCTTTCTTTTTTAACTTGCTGAATATTTTCCTCATCTAATGATGAAATCTCCCAGTGACACACACTCAGTGTATACAAAAATGCTCCCTTTTTCAGTTGCTTTTCTGTCTGGGTGAAGAATAAAGCCGAAGTACTGTTTTGTCTACAGGAGGCTTTTTTCCAGACCAGGAGAACAATGGTTGAGTCAACTAGCAAGGAGTAGAAATGCGATAATCCTGTTAGCCACACTGCTTTGAGATCTCTCCAGGCCTTTCTCTGCCTTTGCTACCACGATCCTCCACTTCTATATTTGAATCCTTTTCCTTGGTACTGTATTATTACCTTCTCTCTGGCAGCCTGGCTCCTCTCCCCATGCCCAGTAATTAACCTCTCCCATCTGGTCCCTTTGTTTGCCCTCTCTGCATGCGGTCTAGCCATTAGGACCCTGGGAAAAGCTAAATTCCTCCACCTTTGTAAACACAAAATCAAAATACCATCTGCATTTCTCAAGAAACATTTTTTTTTGACAAAGGAGTATCACAGAAAATCAAACCATCCTGGCCCCAGCAAATAGTTTTACTCATTCAGTAAATATTCCCAGCGATCACAGGTACCATTTGTATTGCCTCTGTTACCAATGAATACAGGAGACTACAAATTGGCATTTAAAATATTTGTGATTCATGTGTAACAGAAGAATGATCTCAGGGTTTTTTTTTCTATTATTTTTAGAGGTCCGAACACATCGGACATTCTCAAATGTATGTCACGTGGATAGGCCAAAATTCTTAATTTCCTGTCAGTCCCCAAATGTTGAGACAAGCGAGTGCTTACAAATCTGATCACAATCTTAAATAATACGATTCTCTTGTGTGCCCCAAATGCTGCGCTTATAGAAGGACTGAACAGTGAGGAACGCATCTAGGGATTGGGATGGGGATAGTTAGGACTAAGTGTCCTAAAGAGAGTAAAAATAGTAGAAAAAATAATGAAAATAATGTGCATATGTAGCGTTACACAATTAAAAAAAAGATACTTTCCTATAGATGATCTCTATTGGTCACCCCCATCCCCAGCGATAGTCTGCAACAAGTGGAGATCCATTTCACAGATGATAAAACAGCTTGTGCAGGGCCTGTCCTTGGCAGAAGTGAGCCTGGGTCCTCAAGGCTGTCTCTTCTGGGCACTGTCCTCTGTTCCATGTTGGGTCACCAGCCTTTTGCTGGGGAATCACAAATCATAGAACGCTCAAGTTGGAATGACAGTGAAGGCACAGTGTGACCTTTCTGGCTCACGTCAGCTCATTTTCTAAGAAGGACAAGTTTCAGTCTGATTTTTTACCCAGATTTGCCACTTGCCCAGACATGATGACAAGACAAAGAAAGGGAAGGCACTGAGCACATTGGGCATATTTTCTTCCTCCAGGCCTCTATCTCTTGCTGCAAGCAGAGAAACAATGTCTGTGCCCGAGCTGGATTTATGTCAAAAACCCAAAGAGGATTTTTCACTGTTACTGAAAAAGGACCTGCCCCAGGTAAGCAGCTGCCTTGCCCTAGCCTTGACCTAAGGTCAGTGCCCCAGATGTGATTTGCAAGGCATCCATTTCTTCACAAGCTGTTTCTTTGGACGGAGTTAGGCTTGGCGGGGAGTAGGAGCAGGAGACAGGTACTGAGCAAAGAGGAGAAGGAGTGAAGACCAGCTCTCCCCATCCAGGGGAACAACGGCTGGCTCTGGACAGGGCCCCCAAGCAGCCTTCTTGGCGTCCCCTTTCATGACCAGGCATACATGCTCTGGGCAGCCCAGTGGGGACATGGCTTCTCACCTCAGAAGTGTGCAAATTCACACACCCCAGGTGCCATCACAGGCCACTGGTGGGGAGGGAGATGGAGGGTATGACAGTCCATCCTGCTCCTTTGACACTCAGCTGCTGTGTTCCTTTTCTCCTAGACCTAGAGGTGACTTCATCAGCTGATCATAAAACGGTAGAGAACAGCACCGTTCACGGAACCCCACTCCATGCTGAGTGTTTTCCACGCAGTCTCACAGGTCCACATACTTAGCCCTGGTTTTCAGATGAGGAAAGGGAGACTCAGAGAGTTGCAATGACTTGCCCAGTGTGTCACAGCCAGTAAATGGTAGACCTGAGCCCAGAAAAGCCCATTTCCCCATCGTTGCATTGTGCTTTCTGGACCCTCCAGGATTCAGGAGTACACAGGAGCGTGCCTGCTGGCCTTGGGGAGAGGTGTTACGCCTCTCCTGTGCTCTCAGACCTCCAATCCTGGAGCCCTCATTGTATTACATCATCTCAAATCGGTCCCCAACCACCACCACCCCCGGCCTTGGGCTCCAGAGCCAAGCGGAGGAGTAGGGAAGGTTTGCTTCTGTAATCACGCCTCTTGGAGGGGGTGTGGATGAAATTGCAGTGCATGTCAGATTTCAGTAAATCCAGATTAAAGGTAAAACAATCAATCTGAAGCTGAATAACAAAAACAGCACTAATTAGGAGGCTCAGCCCCGGTTAAAGCTCCCCTGCCTTGCATCAGCCTGTGGGCAAAACCCCACCTTGTTTGTTTATACAGAAGAACAAAGCTGGCATCCCTGGGGTTTGGCCAGAGTCCCCGCCAGTGAGCCCTGGCGTGTGGGCATCTCCACAGCCAGCCACATGTGCCTGCTCCCCTGACCCTGGGAGGATCCTGAGGGGACCTCAGCCCCTTGTAACACAGAGCAGGAGGGGTAAAGGTGGGTACTCACATCTGTTATGCTCCTCCTGGGTGCTTTATCTTCATGATCACATTGAATGTTCCAAAAAGTCCAGGGATCATGTGCTTGCTACATAGCAATGTGCTCGGAAAGTGTGAGCTATTGTTATTATTAGTTTATCCCCATTTTATAGACAAAAGTGATACACAAAGCAGGTGACTAGTCCAGGGCCCCACAGCTGGATATGAATCCAGGCCCCTCCATCTTGACACCTGGGACCTAGAGATGACCACCATCCCTCTCCCATGGCCACCCTGGGCTTCCTGGCAGTTGGCTATCCGGTGGTGGGAGCACAAATGCTTTTTGTTGCTTGCCTTTGCTTTTCATTATTTTCTGTATTTGGTGATTCAAGTGTTGCTTTAACCTGTTTTTAGTAGGAAAAAATATATGTATATATATACATGAGAGCAAAACAGAAAGACATATATATATGAGAGGAACAGAAAGACGAGAGATGTATACCAATATTGTAAATGTTGCTGACATCTGATTTTTAAAAATTTAAGCAAATATTGGGGATATCTTTTCATGGTTGTTAAAAATCCTTCTAGAACATCATCTTAATGGATGTATAGTATTCCATTGTATGATGATACCATAATTAAGGAACAAATGCTCTCGTTGGAAATTTAGGTTGTTTTAAATTGATCACTATATGAATAGTACAGCAATGAATATCCTTATAGCTAACAATCTGTGTACAGTCAAGATTATTTTCTCATATAAATTGCTTCAAGTGGAATTGCTAAGTCAAAAGGTATGTAAAATATTTAATGTTCTTGATATTTGTAACCAAATTGCCCTTTAGCACAGGAATAATTTATCCTTTTCTTCTATGGGGTGACTGTTTTCCTCACCTTTGCCATCACTGGAGATTATCATTTCAATAAAACTTGTTCATATGTACTTATTGTTGTTTTCAGTACTTTTGCAATGAAAAGTAAATTTTATTTAAAACAAAATCAACTTTACAATGTTTCAAAAATGTGAAATATTTTCCCCACTCAGGATGCCACCACCTACTGTAATTGTTTCCACTTTTCTGGATTCCCATCTATTTTTATTCAGATGTGTCCTTTTGTACATAGGTATCATCATAGTACGTGTAGACTTCGGGCTTTATTTTACTTTTTTTACTCATATCTGTTTTAAAAAATATTTCCATGTGGCTCTATGGTCTTCCTGTTTACCATTGTCAGAGCTGACATTCCATCAGATCAGGCTGCATTTCCCATAACTGCCTCTGAACCTGGACTTCAGGCTGTTTACACTTTCTCGCATTGTAGCTCCCTGTTGTGTACCTCTTTGTGCTTAGAACTTTTTCATCCTGGCGAATAATTTCCTTAACTTCTGAGCAATGGGAAGCCTGTGTCAGAGTGTGCAGACACCTTCAAGGCTTTGGCCTAGTATTGCTGGTTTGTACTCCAACACCTGTGCCCATGTACAGGGCTGCTGACAACTTGGGGGTGAGACCACTTCTTCTTCACTCCAGCTTGGGTCCTTGTCTTCTTCCTTGAAGCTCTGTGCACAAATTAATTTTATTCTATCACAGTTTCGCGGGATAGGCATGTGGCATGGTGGGAAAGCATAGGCTTTGGAGACAGGCTGACCAGTCTCCACACAGTAGGAGTTCAGCAAATACTTGTCGATTGCGTAACGTTTACAAAGCAACCACTGTGTGCCAGGAACTTAAGATATTATTCAACTATCATAACAACCCTGTTTAAAGAATTATTATTCTTACTTTATAGAGGTGGAAGTTGGGCTTCCGAAAGGTGGAGGGATTTGTCTAAGTCCTTGGTTGGATGGCGAATTATTTACTATCTCTGAGTCTCAGTTTCCTCTTGCTTAGAATGGAAGTGTTAATTCCCATCCTGCCAGGCTACCTGAGGGCTGAATGAGCTGCACGTGGGATGCACGTGGTACATGTTCTCCCAGTAGCAGCACTATTTCTGCTTCTTTCAGGCAGCCCTTCCATTCGGCCATGTTGGAGTGATACTGCCTTATAGCTATCAAGTGTATTCTTGGGGGTAAGATACTGCTTTTTATTTATTGGAGACGAGTTCCTTATTCTGTTTTAAAATTTCTTTCTGCTTAGGGCATTATAATATCGATGATTCCCTTGTGAAGCAGTCACCAAAAATATTGATGTCTTGTTTTAAATCAAAAACCAACCGTGGATTAAAATTGACGTCAACAGGCCCAGGACCTGGTTATTACAATCCAAATGATTGCACCAAAGTTGAAAAAAAGACTCTTATTCCGTGAGTCCCAATTATTCTGATCTTTCTTTTGAAAGGTGATTCTGGGGAAGGACCTCAATGTGGATAGAAAAGGAAGGGGTGTCACTACTTGGGAGGAACAGTGCCAGGCCACTCTCCAGGGGCCCTTGTTGACAGATAATAGGTGTTCAGTAAATACCTGTTGAAGGCATAGTATTTATTGAGCAACTGGTATGTGCCAGGAACTTAAAATCTTATTCAATTATAATAATAATCCTGTTGTAAGAATTATTATTCTTATTTCATAGAGGAGGAAGCTGGGCTTTAGTGAGGCTGATTTGCCTGAATTCACACAGCTGATATGAGGTTCTAAACGGAATTAGCTCAGGACTGTGAATCTTTCCACATTCCCCGCAATGCTGTACTCTCCTGGTAGTGTTATTCTATTTTTTATAACATAAAATCTTCCACCAGGGTGGCAAGATATACAGAAGCAATGAACCTCTAATAGTTTTGTACTGATGGAGATTTAAGCCCAGACTTTGGTCAGACTTCCTGGATTTGTACTTCAGCTCTGCTGTTTTCATGCTGTGTGACCTTGGGTAGAGTTCTAACCTCTCTCAGCCTTCATGCCCTCATCTGTAAAGTGGGTATAATTTATGCCTCATAAGGTTGCTTTCAGAATTAAAAGCGTATGTTTGGCATATACTAGGTACAAATGTTGACTCAATATTAACACAAATTATAAAACTGAAGACAAGGATTTGTGTTACCATTTTTACTATCCTGCACATTTAATGTTACTTTCGCCTGAGAGGCTCAAAAACTCACAGGGCTTATTTATTCTTCAAATGGTTCTAGAATTTCTAAAACTAACCATAGTTAAGCTCAGTCCTCCTGTCACCCTTTAAGCTCTCAACCCTGTGTAGCTCCTCCAGGCAGGGCTGGCCATTGGTGGGGGGAGGGCTGATCAACAGGGCTAGGACTGAACACAGAGCCACCTCAGTCCCTCCAGGGAGGTCAGGCAGGTGGCAGGGGCCATAGCCACGGTGGGTCAGAAGTCCAGACAATCCAGGGAGGCTGGCAGCGTTGGGCATGGTCCAACCATCAGCTGAGGGCAAGGGGCCAGGGTTAGAGAGAGGAGCAAGTTGTGAATCTGCCAAGTCAAACTTGGGATCTGGAGCAGGGATTCAGACCTCAGATGGAGTCTACCATGTAAGTCCCTTCTGCCCTTCCGTACTTGTGCTCTGCAGGTTGCCCCTTCGCAGGCTGCAGGGCTGAGGACGGACAGGGGCTGGGGGCTGGGGGGTGGGCAGGCCAGTCTCCAGGAACAGGCTCTCTCCAACCGTCAGGAACTTCCTGCCTCCAGGCTGACTTGGCGCAACTCGGCATGCAACCTTGTCCCTGCTCTGCCAGAGAAACTGAGTGGTTAAGAGGACGGGCTGGGGTTGGCAGACCTGCGCATGAATCCCAGCTCTGTCCCTTCCAGAGTCTTCTCTGCTTTGAGCCTCAGTTTCCATGATATTAAGTGGAGATAAGAATCTTATAGGAATTCTATGAGGTTTAAATGAGAAAGTAGTTGAAAATAGATACTACTCTTATTATTATTATAGCTGTTATTATTCTGTATCCTATAGACATATTAGGATATAGGATATAGCTATTATTTGCCATAGCAGTTCAAGCCCCCAGTGCAAATCTGGAAGCTTCTTCAAGGAAAATGACAAAATAAGGTAGGAGAGTGGAGAACCCTCAGTTTTTAACTGCTTTACACATAGAAGTGTCTTTCGGCTTTTGCTCAAGTTTGGCCAAGTGGTTTGAAATAATTCTCATTGTATGGTATTTGCATCTGTCAGTCAACAGGCTCTGTAGGTTTCTAGTTCTGTGCTGGAGGCTGTAGGGGTGCCCGGGTGAGCAGGACGCCATACCTTCAGCCTGAACAACCCCAGAGCAAGACAGAGGAGCATGCAACAAAATGCCGGGTCACATGGGTCCCAAGGTGGTGTGGCCACGCATATCCCAAGGGGCAGTCTTTCCAAGTGGGGCAGTGCAGTGGCGGTGCATGTCTGGGTACATCTGGGGCTCACTGGCTCTCTGTTGATGCTTTATACATAAAAGATCTTTAGTTAATAAAGTCTGGGAAGCACTGCATAGTAACCCTCTGCCCCTGGGAGCGTCACAGTGTACACAGTCATATTAAAGGCTCTGAGAATGCCTGCAGTAAAGGAAATGGTTAACCCAGTGTCTCCTAAACTTAGGTGTACCCAGATGAGTGAATGGTACCCCAGGCTCTACAGCAGGATGTTTGTGTAACTGGCTCTGTGGTCTCGGGCTGCTCTCAGCACCTCTCTGGGCCTTCATTTCTTCATGTGTGAAAGTGAGGGGAGGACATCTTTCCATTTCTGACTCACCATCACCCCAGGTTTGCTTGCCATGGCATTCAGGGGAGCACACGGGGCAGTGACCATGGAGCCAGCCTGGACCCACGGACGAGGTCCAAGTTATGTATTTTAAAATTGACATGGAAAGGATGAGGCAGAGAAATCTGTAATTTCATTTAAAAAGTAAGAAGCTAACACTGGTGTACTTTGGACTCTTTTTAAAAAGCATCCATCTGTTTCTGTTGAATAATGTCAGAAATGGTGTAATATAAAGAAAATACGGCTAAATATCATCGGATCATTGAGGGAGTATCTTAACTCCAGTCTCTCCGATCCCAGCTCCGTTCCCTCCCGTGTCCCTGAAGGGAAGAGGGGGACAGGAGCCACGTGGGGGCCCGTGTTCTGGGTGTTCGATCCTGGAGAGTATCTGCATCGTGTCCTCCCCGTCTACATGTAACTGTCATGAGACTTTGTCCACAGCAGACCTAGTCCTCTTTAGCGATTCAGGGCTGTGTAGAACAGTGATGGAGAATCTGAGCCTCGTCACTCCCTGTCTCTTTCCAAAACACACACAGCCGGAGCCACCAGGCTTCGCACACGTGCCACACGATGGGAGACCTGCCCTCATGTGTCTTGGGTTGGAATCGCTTGCCTTCCCGTTCCTGGGTAGGGTTACAGCTTACACAGATAGTATTCTGGCTCTGCTTAGGACGCAGGAAGAATCAGGGCAGGTGCGAATTCTCCCTGGAGTTGTTAGTCCTGTGTTACTGACCAAAACGCGTGAAGCCCAGAGGTGAGAGGATGGGTGATGTGACCAAAGTGCTCACGAGGCCACCAGTGGGAATGTGCTTGTCGCACCTCCTGGAGAGGCCACAGAGGCAGCATGGGTAGTGGGCTAACACAGGCTCCGAAGTCAGGCCACTGTGGAACCTCCACCCTCCTGCACACCAGCCCCGCGGGCCTGGGGGAAGGGAGGTCCTTTAACTGAAATTCACATTCATCCTTGGTGAATTGGGATGAGAACACCTCACATTATGTTTGCAAGGACAAGAGAAGGTAACCCACGTAACTCCCTGGTAACCTGTATTCTTATCAAAGCCTGTGAGCAGGTCCTCTGTGTTCACCGATGTTTCCTGAGCACCCCGCAGGGCGGCTGCTGCAGGGCAGGCCGGGTGTTAGCACCGGCATTTCTGAACTCCTTAGCTGCAGAACATGTCACAGGGTGTTCCTTTGCTACGGCCACCTTGCTGACTCAAAAGCTAAGAGGATTTATCAGCTTCTAGGGTGTCTTTAGAAGCGAAGTGAAGTGTCAGCCAAGGTTTCACTTCTTGAGTTCTTCAATATTCGTCACTGTGGTGACTCAATGAATTAGGGTGAGTCAGGGGAAGGGTTTTTTGAGATCAAAATAGTTCCTCCTAGTGCTGCCTTCCAATGCAGGCTCACCAGCAAGGAGGTGGAACACCCAGAGACATCTTCCTAACCCTTGGTCTGCTTCCTGGAGTTTTTAAGCCACTGGATTTGCACAGACATGCTGTCCTGTCACAGCCAGAGCTGAAGAATCAAGCCCTGTTGGCCCCACTCCAATTTGGATAATTACGCTGGACCCACCTTAAGTTCCCCTGGGATTTTCAATTAGATATGGGATGCTTCATCCCAAGCCGCTGTAATCTGTCACCGCTACCCTGTTAAATAGATACTGCATTCCACCCCAGAGGCAATCGGCTGCCCTTTAATGATGAGAAAAATTGCCCTTTTATCCCTCCTGACCCTGGGAATCCCTGAGGCAGAGTGAATCTGTGCCTGGGAGTGTCCCAAGGGTCTCGGATGCCTTCCCCAGGTGACCTGCTGAGTCCTCTAAGACATTCATTATTCTTGGGCGATTTGCAAGCAGCTCACGTTGGAAGCTCAAACACACTTAATCCAGTTGTGGCCAACTCAGAGCCTTTGATAGATGTTTTCTTTCCACGGGGCAGGACCAGGTTGGTTTTTATAACTGAGCAATGAGGCTCATAAAAGGCCCGGTCACAATGCACCGTGGGCTGCCTTGGGTTTGATCTGGCCTGACATTTGTGATTTGCCAGCCCCACCTCTACACGGAGGGACCGGCTCTGGGTGAGGATAAACTGTCGGGTGGGCCTCAGATGCCTGAGCTCCCTTTATTGCTTCAACAACTCTGCTTTTCTCTACGATTAAGCAAATGTCCCCGGAATAGAGCTGGGGGCCTCAAAGCTGAATAAAACACAGTCCCCTCCCTTAAAGATCCAGGCAAGTAAAAACCTTGGAAAATCTAATGTGTTAAGTGCAGAGAAAAGAAGAACAGCCAGAGTGTGTGAGGGGCCAGACACGCTGAGCTAAGAGCTCCCACAGAGACCATCTGGTGTCATCCTTCCAACTCTCCCAGCCGTGGTAGTTTGCAGTGAAGTGCAGACTGGCAGAGGTGGTGGAGCTGGGGTTGGAATCCAGGTCCGTTGGCCTCTAAAACCCATGCTCCCCTCTCGAGCCATGTGGCGGGAACATGCAAGGCAGTCAGGTAGGGGGTGGCAGGGTGGGGGTGGGTGGGGAGAGAAGTTTCTCTGAAGGAGGTGGGAATGTGAAGCATGAATCAGGGTTTGTAGGGAAAGTCAGTTTTCCTGATCTAGAGAACAGCACGGGCAAAGGCATGGAGTTGCTGAACAGTGTTGGGTATTTCTGGAAGGTAAAATGGGAGCAGGGACGCGGAGGAGAGGAGGCTGGACTGAGAGGCCATAATAGAGCTTTGCCTTCAAATCCTCATCAGGGTCTGTAAGGGGGGTGGTGGGAACTAAGCGAACGACCCAGAATCGGGTGGGTGGAGGCTTGCAGGCAGTCTAGGTGGCTCAGCCTCTGTCTCCATATGTCCTAATTCCTGCCCTGGAGGCTACAGCTTTTCCCACTTCCATGCTTTTGCCCCTGCTGTTCCCTCTGCTGGAAATGCCCTTCCCCACCTTGCACACCTGAAGATTTTCCACTTACATTTCAGGGTAAATGTTCTCTCTTCTAGGCTAGATTTCTGGATTCACCCAGTTGGAATTTATCTATCTGTCTGCCTGTCTCTTTCTGTGCCCTCAGTGCACAGACTTTTTACCTATTCTAACAGATTTCGTGTTTAAAAAATTATTACAAGTGAAGCACTAGTTAACCTCCTAACAGTCCTGGGTGGCAGGTATTTTTATCCAGCATTTTACAGATGAAGAATCTGAGGCCTAGGGAGGTTAAGAGCCTTTTCTAAGGACATACAGCTGGTAAGTGGGGAAGTGGAGATTTAAACCCAGCTCTGAGTGCAAAGCCTTAAATTGTCACCAGTCATGATTGTGGCCAGCAGTAGATTGTCAAGCCCTCAAGGGCATTCAGGTCTGTATCTTAGCACAGAACACTCTGGATTCCCAAGCATGCCTGGCACAGAGCCGCACACGTGGCTGGTGCTCACTAAAGATCCACAGAGCTGGGCTGAAGGTTCCAAGCCTCTCCTGGGCTCATCGAGGGCGTGGAGGGCGAGAGACCTCTCTAACTCATTCTTGCTGAGAACGTTGGTGAGACGTTAACGCAGCATGCACCCGCCTCCTGCAGGCAGTCCCTGGCTAGGAAAGCAGATGTCTCACGGTCTTCTCAAAGAGTGGAGTGGGAATCTTGGGCTTGGGGTGGCCCAGACCAATGACAGGGTGACCTCATACATGGTTGGCTTATTCCAGCTCTGATTTCCAGGAATCAGCCCTGTCTGTTTATGATGCCAGCCACACACTCATCAAATGTCTAGGGGTGTTTTGAAGGGGGAGCCACAAGCCAGAACAAGGAGAAGCCAGCTTTCATTACATTTACAAGGGGAGAGGCTGCTGATCACACACTGTAACCAGTTCTTCCATGCAGACTGGACGGGAGAAGCGTCCCCCCTTTCCTGTGGGTGCCTTTGTTCTACATGCAAGCATCCAGCTGCCGCTCCATCACAAGATGTGAGTCTCCAGCAGATTTACAACGCCTTTCAACGTCCTCCTGACAATGGGAGTGTCCCCTGCCTCAGGGTGACTCTGGTGTGAGTGGGCCCCTAAATCTCTCTTTCCTGGGGCTCAGCTGCTCTTGTGCCACCAAGCAGTACCTGGTGGTGCTGCAGGGATCACTGTAAGAATAATAACTACTTTTACTGCACACCTGCTATGTGCTGGGGCTATGCTAGGTGCTTTACATACCTTTTCTCTATTCATCATAACTCCCATATAGAGAGTGGGTGTCATTGCTCCTTGCTATATACATTGACACTGAGGCACAGAGAGGTCGGGGGGCTTGTCGGAGGCCTCACAGCAAGTAAGTGGTATGACTGGAATTCAGACTCAGATGTATGACTCTCAAACCGTGGCCCCTCTGCCCTGGGACTTCCTCCAGACTGCTAGGCACCAGAGACTTGAGTGCTATGCCGCGTTCCCGTGAACTTGCCCTGTGACTTTGATGAGTTACTTTGTCTCTCTGAACACCAACTTCTTTAGCAAGCTAAGGCAGTTGATTAAGACATCTCTGGGTCCCTTTGAGCTATCTGGGTTTAAGAAGGTGTTGGCCAAAAGGGCAGCAGCATCCCAGTGGCCAGGAATCAGGTCCCTCCATCTGTGTGGATGGGCCGGCTTCCAGGTGGGGGAAGACTCCCTTGGCTGTTCAGTGCTGAGAACCTTCCCTTCCCTTCTGGTGAGAGGCCTTGGAAGAAGCCTCGAGTGAGAGGCGGAAGGAGACAGCCCTTCTGTGGTATGGTCAGGAGAGCAGCATGGCTCCTGTAACAACCCCAGAACTCCCTGGCAACCCAGGGAACTTGGAATCAAGGCCTGATGAAAGATCACAACTGGAAGGGACCTCAGAGGCCGTCTTGTCCAACCCCCTCATTTTACAGATGGGGAAACTGAGGCCCAGAGTGAATTAGCGACAGAGCTAGGACTTGAGTACAAGTTCCATTTCTCTTTCATTTAATCTCTCAATACCAGAGATAAAAAATAGACTCCCTTTCCTGAAGAGGGTGGCAGACAGACCTGAAAACAAACACTTACAACGTAAGTGGAAAGTCTAATGCAGAGGTATCTTGCTGCGCAACCCAGTGCTTCTCCACTCCTGCGCCTGCCTTGCCAGGAGGACATTTAGTAGGATTCTGGAAAGTCAATGCTGGAATGGCCTCCAGAGACCCGCTAGTCTTGGGCTGGCAAATCCCTGGAATGTGGACGCCTATTCCTTACCGCTGGCCATGGCAGGCATGGCAAGTGGATCACCAAGGCCTCTTCCCATTGCGCCGCTGTGAGGCCTCAGTTCTTTTCACAGAGGTCCAGGCAGGCAGTACCAGTGATCAGAGTTGGCACATGAGATAAATGCAGCCTGCCGTTCCTGATTAGCTCACAACAGCATCTACAACAACGCACACTGAGCTCTCACCGTGTGCTGGGCCCTGTCCTGAGTACTGTGTTTTAGGTGCATCATCTCAACCCTACAACAGGCCTGCAAGGTCAGTACTATTATGATTGCCATGTGCAGATGAGGAAACTGAGGCCCGGGGCCCCCTAGCTCACTGGCAGTGGAGCTAGGGCTTTGTCCAGGCCTCCTGTGCTGTGTCCAGTCCTCTTGCAGACAGCTCAGTTCTGTGCAGGCCTCAGCTCTTTCTAAAAACTGGCCTTTCCCTAATAGACTGCTTTAGTGACATCTTCCCATTTTGTCTTTTCTGAAGGAAAAATCCCATCCTGAACTTCTCTGCCCAGCCATTGTCTCTGCCCCCAAAGCCGCCTCTCCCGGGCCCTGGGCAGTATGAGATCGTGGACTACGAGGGCCCCCCCAAGCACTTCATCTCCAGTGCGTCGTTTGTGTCCAACACCAGCCGGTGGACAGTGGCGCCATCCCAGGCAGGCCTGCCTGGCCCAGGTCAGAGGATTGTTTTAAATGATTGTAAAAACCAAATCTGGAATTGTTTGTCATTCCTGGGCCATCAAATGCCACTGATTTATAGGCTGTTTGCCAAACAGTTTACAGGGCTGAGAGTAGATTTAGAAGAGTTATCAGCTCACATTTTCAGAGTATAAGAATGTTTTGTTTTTTAAGGTAGAAGGGCCCTTAGAGATGATCCAGGCCGGGGATTCATAACGGAGGACCATGAACATCCAGGAGGCTCAAAGATGGGCTCTCGGGACTGTGACTCTGCAATTGTACGCAAACTTGGAGCATGGAGCCGTTACGGGACAAGGGGCCATAGTCACAGCCTTTGTCAGATTGTCAGAAAAGTTCTTGCTCTTAAAACTATTTAAACCACTGGTCTAGTGTGGATGAGTCGTTTTACAGATGGGGACGGCCTGGAGAGTGGGTTGGCCCCAGACCCACAGTGACTTAGTGGCAGGCAGAGTGCTGGGTGTCCTCCCCTCTTTGCCTTGTTCACTGTGAGACAAACCAGGGACTGCTGGATGGAGCGGCTCTTCTAAGCCATCCAGCTCCGCTCCCTTCATACAGGGGAGCCTGAGTAGCGATCCTTGTTACATCTGGGATCTACCTGCGAGCTAGTGTCCTGAGGCACTTGCTTGCTCCGATGGGTGGTCTCTGTGCTTCCTGGCCTATTCGTAGCTCTCTATAGAGCACTTTAGTTATTACCACTCCCCGACAGTGGCCAGAGCTGGTGGCATTGGGGACTGACAGGCGTGGCAGGTGGCATGGGAGGAAGAAGGCAGAGCTATGAGGGCCACCGAGTTGGTTACATTCCACCGTTCAGTGGCGATGCTCCCACCCTGGGAAGCAGAGATGACTTGGGCCCTGTGCTTGCCCCCAGAGGCTGCAGTCTGGTAGGGAGACACCTGCCCCTCCACGCTCACAGGTGAGACTCATGTAAGGCAGACTGCACAGGGAGAAAGTCATTCTCATAGCCTGGGCCTTGCAGATATCTGCTATTCAAACCAGCAAACTGCAGAGGTTGACCTGGGGTCATCTGGCCATTCCAGGAGAACTCAAACAGCAAACATGCAAACTCTCCATACTATGGTGAGCTCCAGGAGGCCCAGGGACAGGTGGGGATCCTAGACCAACCCTGTTTGTTCCTGTCCTCTAAGAGCTTTGTCTGAAAGCCTTCTGTATGCTGCACATGGGGGCCAGGCACCTGGCAGTTACTGCTGCTCTGATCACCCACCCCAAGATGGGCTTCCCTGGGGGGCCTCCCGGACACATCTCCATGCAGGCGTCTGCCTCCTCGGCTTCCAGTGGGCGCAGATATACCTGGACTGCCCGGGGCTCCCCCTAGCAGCTTCCCGAGCACCTGGACAGAGAGGACGTGCGCAGGACCCTCACGAACCAGGTCGGTGTCAACGTGAGGGTTTCTGGTCACCTGGGGCTCTGGCTCCCAAGCCCTGCTTGGTCCTGGCGGCTCATCTCCTAGAGAACCATGTCTATAATTGTCATGGCTTTCACTCTTCTGGAAATTTCTAAACTAAATCAAAAGAAAACCCCATCAAGGTAACTAACACCTTGCTTCTTTAAGAATATTCCTTTACTCAATGTTTTTCTCAAACTTCATAGAAAATGGTTTTGATAATTTTGTTCTGTTAAAGAAGTTAAAAGGAGTTAAAGGACGGAAGCCGGAGTTTGCGTCCTGCCTCAGCCAGTTAAGAGCCGCATAACCTTGAACCCGTCCCTTCCTCTCTCTACCACAAGTGAACACAGCAGCCGGAACAGGGCCGCCCAGCCTTTCCCGCTCTGAGGGAGAGTGCCCGTGGCTCCCTTACTGCTCTCTCTCCCCCTCACAGCCTCGTACAAGCCAGCGTTCCCAGGAAAGCAGTCCTTCCTCTACAACGAGGACAACAAGTGGATCCCAGTGTTGTAGTGATGTCACACAAGCTCAGGGGGACCGGGGCCACCAGCCCACCCCACCCGCCTTCCCCGGGACGTTCCTTAGGAGAATGTGCACCGCCCTGTGAGAGCTGACGCTGGGGCGGCTCTGCCATACCCCCACCTGGCCTTGGAGCCGCTGCTGCCACTGCCCTTGTTGGACCTTCCCCTGCAGATGGCACCCCACCCCCGACTGCTGCGGTTTCCTGAGCAGAAAGGAGGAGTGGACAGAGCCCCTGGGCTCCCACGCTGGCTTCTGGCACAACTCCCCTCTGCAGACACAAGGGGCTCCTGAAGCGCAGCCTCCGAGAACAGTCCACAGCGACGGGCCAAGGCCGATCCCCAGCCCAGAAGCCTGATGCTGAGCCGGAGCTCTGGGCCCAGGGTGTGCCTGTGAAGGGGACAGTGCAGGCAGGGGCCCAGGCACGTCCCATCCCTCTGGCCCCGACTTCCAGATGCCTACTTGAGTTCCAGGAGCCAGGATGGCTCAGAGGTACCTGTGACAGAGACACAAAGGGGTTGCCTGGGCCTCTCGGCCCCTGCTAAGTCTTGATGTCTCACCGTCAGGAAGAACATGGAAGCCAGTCACCATGGTCACTTTACACTCATTACCTGCCTCTGGAGAGGGGGATCACATCAGTTTATTGGCCTGGCGTTGGGCAGCACATGTGAACAGGATCCTGCTAGAGCCAGAGCCCTGGAAAAGGAGCAGGGAGGCCCGCTGTGCCCCGCCCCTGCAGGCTTGCACTTTCCCCGACCTTTCCCCTTCCCAGCCTGGCCTCCATCCCTCCCTGACCTCCTGCTCAGTGTCAGAAAAAGACTTATTGACCAAGTGTGACACAATCTTTAAAGCATCTTTACTGGCGAGCCAAATCCTTTACCTTCAGCAAGAGGAAGAGATTCCCGGAGAACCAAGAAGGAATAGAACTGACCTCCGACCTCCTGGTCCCCCTCCATCCTCATCCCCCTCCCCCCACACCCCAGCTTCCCCAAATGGTGATGTTGTCTGTGCTTTTATAAGTGGAGCCTCTGGTGCTTCTCCTCTCCCGCCTCCAGCCTCTCCCCTCCCCTGGGTTCTCCCCTTTACTTCTCTCGGGGAATGTCACATCCCAGGCCTTCCCCGGGACTGGCCACTGATTGGCTCCCCCTTTGGGGAGGGCGGGTGGGAAGGAGAAGGTGGCGTTACACATCCAATTAAACCACATTCTTGCTTCTCACAAAAGCTGGCCTTTTTGTGAACTTCAGATTCCTGCAAGGGCCTGGTGGCTTAGGAACGAGAGTCTGCCTGGAACACTGCCGAGTTCTGGACTTGAAGGCAGAGACAGCTCGTGCTTCTGTCTGCAGGGTCCTTAGCGTCTCCTCGAAAGGAAGAGCTGGTTGAAATTCAGGGCCTGTAAGGTCAAAGGCTTCCAGGAGCTGGGCGGGCAGTGCACTGAGCAGAACAGGCCAGGTGGGGACGGGGACTCTGGACTGCAGCTGCTGCCGCCTGTGGCCAGGGGCTTCCGGCACAGCTCTGGCTCCTTGTTGCCAGACACGGAGATTTGTCAGTAGAATCCGGAAAATCTTTAAAACATGAAAGCTCTTGATTTTAGATGTGGACAACTACATTTCCATTTAAAATTTTTGTTTGGGCAAAAGGAAATTCTTTTGCAGGCCATCAGTTGTCCATCTCAGTGCTAGAAGTTCTGGAAGATCCTTCAAGGCTGGCCTTAAAGCTGTACCTTTGTTTGGGCCCAAATTCTTGACTATGGGGCCAGATCCTGAGGCCTTGGTGTTTAGGTCTCTCTGACCCTGAGTCTCCTTAGTGACCTTAACAGCCACTGGGCTGGAAGCAGCTGGCCCTGGGGTCACTCTGGGCAGGGGCTGGTGCTAATGCATCGGACGACAGCGACAGGCTCCGCCAAGCGAAGACTGTCTTAGAAGCAGCCCCGTCCAGGTGGGGTCAAGAAAGGGATCTGGGAGAGCAGAGCAGGGCTGCTCTCAGCCAGTCAGGTCCGAATTCTGTGGACGACACAGCTGGGCTAAGGCCCTGAGCCCAGGTAGTCTGCCTTGATTGTACCCAGCCATTCTTACGATGTCACAGGCTGCTCACAGCTCTGTCCAGCCCAGGGGTTCTCAACCCCGGTTAGACATTGCGGTCACCTCAGGTCATGTTAGGGAGACAGCACACTGAGGCCCCATCCCCAGATCTCTGATTTAATTGATCCGAGGTAGGGTCCGGGCATTGCTATCTTTGTTAAAGTTCTTGGCGTGATGGTAGTATAACTAGCTAGGGTTAGGATACACTGATAATTTAATAAAGTACTTCCCAAATTTTCATGCGCATGCAACTCACTTGGATATCTTATTAAAATGCAGATCAATAGGTGGGGGAGGGGCCTGAGAGTCTGTATTTCTAACGTGCTCCCAGGGGATGCCGACGCCGCTGGTCCATGGGCCACATTTGGAGTAGCATGGGTCTCATCCATGCTCTTGATGTTCAGCTCCTCATCTGGTCGTCCAGTTGTTCATCCATCTGCTTCTTCACTTATTTTTCCTGCCCTCCCTCCCCTCCTTCCCTGATTCACTCATTCATTCATTTCCTCCCTCTCCTCCTTCTCTTACTCACTCATTCATTCATTCCCTCCCTCCTGCCTTCCTCATCTGTCCCTTTCTGACCTCAGTCATTAGCTGTATGTCTGCCTGGCGAAAGCTCCCTGCAGGCAGGTGATGCTCTCTCAACAGCCGCCCTTCTAAAGCCACCACCTGTTTGAAAGGCCTTGACTCACCTTTACTCCTTCCAGCGTCTCACTCTTTGGAGTGAAAGGTGATCTTGGATGGCAGCTGCCAGGCTCAGGAGCTGCCCTTTTCTCCCTGACTGTCTCTAAGGGCTAGGCTGAGTTTCCTCAAGGCTCGTGGGGCTCTGCTTGGGGTCCAAGTGGCTTTTCTAGGCATCGCAGCCCTTGTCCCTTTATGTGGCGGTGGAGGGGGATAAACGCGGCTTTGCTGGAGGCTGTGCTGTGCAGTGTGCGGGGCAGGAGCTTCCCTGAGCTGCACAGCAGGCTCGGCGCTGGCTCCTGTAAGTCCTCACGCGCGCTGTGCGGTTGGACACTGAGAGGGGACAGAGGCTTCAAGGCCTGTACGACTGTGGCCTCCTTAGAGCCTGACTGCATATTGTCATCACCTGGGGGACTTTAAAAAGTACCCATACCCACCTTTCTCTGGCTGGATGTGGTGGCTCCCGCCTTGTAATCCCAGCACTCCAGGAGGCAGAGGCAGGAGGACTGCTTGAGGCCAGGAGTTTGAGACCAGCCTGGGGTTTGCGCAGTGGGCAGGAAGGTGCGGCAGAAGGGATGGAAGCTACCTGGGTGATTCCAGTGGGCAGTCAAGGCTGAGAAGCACAACTTCCAGCTTCCCAGCAGGCTCCAGGAGGGAAGCTGGGCAGGAAGCCCAGGAGGCAGCATTAACACATGCTGAGCACCTGCAGGGGGCCTGGTGCTGCTCTGTTGCTCTGCACTCCTCTCGGCACTCCTCTGACATTTAACCTTCGCGCATCACCTGGCTCTGACATGGAGGGTGGTGTCACAGCAGCAGTGAGGCCTGGGCTGGGCAGAGCAACTCTGGATGCTCCGAGGGGTCCCTCCAACAGTGCCAGACAAGCCATGTTGGAGCCTGAGGCAAAAGGAAACATCAGTAATACTGATCTTCTCTTTAAATTTTTGATATTTTATTCATTGTGGATTTTTTGCCTTAATAAAAAAATATTGCATTGAACTATGATTTATCTTGATTACGGAGCTCTTTGGCACCCCTTAATTTTTGTGCCTGAGGCTAGTGACTCGCCCGCCTGACCCCAATTCCAGTCCTGACTCTAGGCGGGAGCTTGGGAATTAGGGCCACAGATTCTGTCAGAGTTGGGAGGTTCTTAGGGGCATCCATGGTTTTCAAACTTTTAAAAAAAGTTTTGTTCAGACAAACGTTCACAAGAAACCCCGATATTTAGGTGGAGAAAATCAGAGCTGCTGATCGATGTCAGGGAGGACACTTGGGGGCCTGCCAGCTATCGCCTTCCCAACATCATGGTGGCCTTTGAGACCCACCAGTGAACCCTGAGGCTCTAAGGTGATAGTTACAACCAACCAATATAGACCACGTCCTGCACTCTGTAGCCAAAGCTGAGGATTAGAGGTAGCAGTGTGTTGGTAAGTCGATCCTCAAGAAAAGAAAAAAGAAAAAGAAAGCAAGCCCTGATTTTGATTCATTCTCTAGGGGAAATAAAGGCCTTGATTTGTAGCATCTGTCAATTTCTGATTGCCATCATGGCTGATTTCAGCATGCCAACATGATGTCACTGCCTGCAGAGTTGGGAAGAGATGCGCACAAGTGCTTTTTTTTTTCTTTGTTGAGACAGAGTCTCTCTCTGTTGGCATCAGCCTAGCTCACAGCAACCTCAAACCCCTGGGCTCAAGCGATCCTCCTGCCTCAGCCTCCTGAGTAGCTGGGACTACAGGCATGCGCCACCATGCCCCCAGCTAATTTTTTCTCTATATATTTTTAGTTGTCTAGCTAATTTATTTCCATTTTTTTAGTAGAGACAGGGTCTCACTCTTGCTCAGGTGGTCTTGCACTCCTGAGCTCAAAGGACTCATCCGCCCCGGCCTCCCAGAGTGCTAGGATTACAGGCGTGAGCCACCACGCCCCGCCCGCTGTGCTTTTGTGAGCTGGTGGAGCTGGCTCCAGAGAAAGTGACTTAGCCTAGAGAGTAGGGGCGGAGCTCACGAGGCTCAGGTCACGTGGCTCCCAGCCCTGGGCTTTGCCTGCTGGCCCCAGCGTGAGGCCCTCAGCAAGCTCATTCTGGGCCCTTCCCAGGACTCCATCTCCAGAGTCAATGATCCTGGAGTCATAACATTCAAAGACAAAGATCTGGGCATCAGGATTCTGCTACCTTCCAGAGCGGGCACCTCTGTTCCACAGTGCTCTGCTCCTCCGTCACCTTCAAGTCCAGGGCAACCCGCGCCCAGCACAGAGCTGTGGCGGAGAGAGGACGAGGAGAGGCCTCACGCATCCCCTCTTCCCAGAAGCTTCTCAGGAAAGGCATGCGTGCAGCATGTGAAGTAATACATGGGTAGACTTTTACTACTAAATACCATATGAGTATACAAAATGCATAATTGAATAACAGCTAAAAAAAATAGTCCAAGAAATGTGAAATACACATTTTTTGAAATGATAAAAATGTATCCATGAAAAATATAAAATGTTGCATATATACACAATACATATTTATATATATAACATAAATGAAAATCGTAAATAAGAAATGTGTACAACAGTGAGTGGCACGGCAGCAGTCTACACAGCAGTCATTTGCTCCAATCAGCTCTGTTATTTACATCGTGCATTGAGGAAGTCTGTGAAAAAGAGGCTGTTTCCACTACAGTTTCTTTCAAAAGTCACTTGCACTGAAAATCAGGAGTTTTCACGTTAACTGACCAAAGGGTGAGAAATCCTTGGTCTGAAGTTGATGGAAGATGGAGAGTGGGGGCCGGACCAGAGTCCAGTCAGCTGGCGTTGCCCGTGGGAAGGAGGGTATGCCTCCACCGTCTGAACAGCAGCCTGCGGGAAAGCCACTGCAGAAAAGGGTCTTTTGAGGAGGAAACCGGGATGACACTGTCTCGCGGGGGCAGGCACTGGCAGGAAGTGGAGGAGCAGATTCAAGCATGCCGTGGGGGTTCAGATCAGGAGACCTCCAGGGTCTCTTCCTCGGCCTGAGATCTGTGGGTTTGTGACTCAAAGGCCTCTTCTCCCGGAAAGGCGTTCAAGTAACAGCACTGAGGCATGTGGACAGGTTGTGTGTGGTGTGGGGCCCCTTCCCAGCTGGGCCCTGCAGGGAGCCCATACCAAGGGGCCATGGGCTCGGATGCTTGGGCCTTACAGCTCCTTAAGGATGATCTGAATCTTGCCGTCCATCTCCCCCATGTCCAGTAGGAAGGCGACGTGGTTGCTGTAATGCTGAATAATGTTGTTATCCATGTTGACTAAGATTCTGGAAGAGAAGAGGAGATGCAGTTGGAATATGGCAGGTCCCCTTGCTTTCACAAGGATGATAGTAATGGTTAAATCAAGGGGGTGCCTGCAACGTTTCAGGCACATCATAAACTTTGATCCTCTGATCCTCAAAACAACCCTGCAAGGTGGGTATCCATAGTGCCCCTTTACAGGGGAGGGCGCAATGCCTAGTGGCCAAGCCCAGACCTGCTGGCTACCACACCACAGCTACTACGCCAACTGTCTCTCTCCTGAGTGTGGACACTCTTGAGCAACTGATACATAGATCTGCGGTAGACGAAGCACTGCCTTAGTCGCCACATTGAGGTCTCAGACATGGGGTGTAAGTTCAAGTCCAGGAGGTGTAGTGGTTTAGGTTCAACGAGAGGCTAGGATGTGTCACTCAGGTGTGCCTGCCTGAGCCAGAGGCAGGTGTCACACAAGTCTCCTCTCAGCTCCATCCCCATGAAGCTAAAATCTCAGGGGATTGTACAATAGACGTGAGGGGCTTGGCCCTCTCTCTCTCCACACTCCCTAGACAAGGACCTGGGCCAACCTGAGAGAGACAGAACCTCCACGGCTATGGTCCCTGGCAGGGGGTCAAAGCATAGTTTATGCCAAAGGGCACCCCTGTAAGAGCTGCTCCTGATGAAGGACCCACCAAGATATGACCTGAGCTGATCGCGTCAGCTTCCCCTTTGCCCCTTCTCTGCTAAGTCTTCTGAGCTTTGATGGAGTTGAGTATACCCACTCGCCCACACACCCACCCATCTACCCACCCACCCACCATCCATCTGTCCACCTGTCCTCCATCCCCCCATTCATCCCCCAGCATTTGCTGAGGCCTTTCCCTGTGCAGGGCCGTGCTTCAAAAACAAGGACCACATAGAGATGAATTAGACCTGATCCTGTCCTCCAGGAGTTTAGAATCTAGTAGGGACTGGGAGAGTACATCCTTACAGCCACATTATTCCTGTTCATAGATGGAGAAGCGGAGGTTCAAAGAAGCAAAGTCACTTGCCCAAGGTCACAAAGTTAATAGATGGCAGAGCTGGGATTTGAATCTAGACGTTTGCCTCTTTCCATTGTATCATTTTTTATAAGGAAACAAAAAGCCCTATAAATACAAGTTAGGAAGTGGCAAATATAAGGAAGGCAAAATACAAGGCTGGGGGACAGCTCAGACAGGGAGAGATTATTTTAAGTGCGGCAGCAGTGGCAGGCAGGGGTCTGCTTTCATGAGGACCCCATGAGGGAGGCAGTGGAGACAGCGCTGAGCCCGACGCCCACGGCCTACGTCCCGCTGTCCCTACCGGCATCAGCCAAGCAGCTGCTGCTTTCAGGGAAGGTCCAGGCTCAGGCTCCCAAGGCCTGGGTGCTGACTGCCCATGTTTGATTATAGGACCCCCCTTCCTCGGGTCGCGTCTGGAGCTCCTTCATTTCCCAGAGGGATCTTTGGGGGCTGGAGGAAGGGAACAGACCAGAGGAGACCACGACAGGGGAGAGGGGTGGGTGCTTTGTCAGTGTGTCCTACAGTGGCATCCACTGGGTGCTTTGAGGTGCCAGGCACTGTGAATGTGTCTTATGTGCACCAGCCTGAAAGCTGGACCCTCCCACTCCCCAGCGGGGCTCCCAGTGGCCCGAGCTCACACCTGCACACAAGGGATCCTGGACAGGCCCACAGAGCCCTCCCCTCGGAGGTCAACGACAACTGGGCTCTGAGAGGCAGGGGCTTGTCAGGAACCACTGCTACTTCCCCGCTTCTAGCTACCCTCTGTCCTGGGTTGCACTGAGCCTCTGGCCAGCTGCCAGCAACAACAAGGTATTTGTTACTCTTTCAAGCACTCGGTGTGCTTGTAAAGCTGCTGGTATCTGCCGCTGTCTGGAGGACTTTCAGGAGGGTTTTGTGAAAATAAACTCAGCTGCTGGTTAGAATTTCCTGCTCCTCACATGAGGACTGGCCTGTCCTCTCCCAAGAGGTGTTTGGGGGAATATTCTCATTCAGACAACCCTGGAGTGATGTTTCCAGGCCGTGGGGGTGTGTGGGGTGTAGGCCAGTGAGCGATGCCCTGGGCCATGGCGCTGGGCAAATAAACTGGCGGGCCTGGCTGCAGCCTTTATTTGCACACTGCTTAGTGGTTAGGGGACAAGCAGGGAGCGAGATAAAGTAGCGGATGTGCACAGAGGCCGCCTTCTGCCAGCTACTAACTCATGACCTTGTAACTACTCGGGACCTCGGCTTCCTTATCTGTAGGAACAGAGATGTGACACTCAGCTCAAAGGACCAGTAAGATGATGCCTGGGAGATATTGACCCCAGAGCCTGGCATGTGGGAAGTGCTCCGTAAATAGAAGGCATCATAATTATGACTTAAATAGCTGGCTAGGGCTTAAGGAAAAGCCTCTTGCCACTCAGCCAGTGGGGCTGGGGTGGGAGGACATCCTTGTAAGGAACACTGCCCCCCGACCCCCACCCCAATCATACCCAAAGGCACTTCTAGGCCTCTCAGCCCAGCCTGGGGTGGGACTTGTCGGGGAGGCCTGCCACGCAGAGCCGGGGGCGTGGACACTGGCACCGTGCGGGGGGGCGGGGGGGAGTGGGGCTGGGCTTGTCTGGGCAGAGCAGAGCCTGCCCTTGGCCATGATGTGGATTCCGCTCCAGAGAGCATGTGAGCCCCAGTTTGAAACCGAAACTTGGAAAAAAAGACACACAGAAAACTCTAGACGTGTCTACAACTAAAACCAAATGGATCCCTTCCCAGGAGCTACAGCAATGGACACCTCCCTCCACCCCCACCTTCTATGGGAGGCTGGGTGGGAACCGAGGAGGAGGGAGAAAAGGCTGGGTCTGTGATTACGTGGGGCCACAGCTTGAAGACAAAACCTGCCTCCCTCTGCAGTCTTCTAAAAAGGAAAACCCAGACTGTAGCCGTGGGGCAAGTGGCCGAGCATCCTGCAGGGGCTACTAGTAAGCGTAGGTGGAGACTGGTTGCCCAGAGCAGGAGGATCTGACCTGAGCTGTGGGCAGAGGTGCCAGGAGCACATTTCCTCAGTCTTGTCCCAGGTCCTCTGAGCTGGGAACAGCAGTGACAACTCACTGTTCAGGGGCCCCATGCCAGGCTGGGGCCTAGTGACCTAGTCGCGAAGGGCTGCAGAGGCCCAGCTCAGTGGCTCTGACCAGGGGACTGAAGCCTGCAGGGCAGTGACCATGGTACCCTCCCCGTCTCCCAGCCGTTTGCTCCTAGTAGAGGCCAAGGTGCTGTGGTCCCCAGGAGCCCATGGAGGGCGGCCAGGCAGGGCGTGGCTTCACTCCTTCTGGCCCCATCTAGCCTGAAGCTGGAGACCCAAGGTGCATCCCCAACAGGGCTCCCCCAGACAACTCCCAATCTCAACTCCCTTTCCAGACTCATCGCCAGCCACGCCCCTCCTGCCCCCAACTCCGCCGGTAGCAACTTTGCTGGGCCTTTCTGCCTGTGCCTCTGCCCCACTCCTCCTGCCCCTGAGGGCTCCTTATCCCCTCTGAGCCTCAGTGTCCTTACCTGTAAAATGTGTGCAGTGGTATCTACCTCTTAGTGCGGCCGTGGGGGTTCAATGGGATATCCTTAGCCCAGTATCGAAGCATGGTAAGTGGGCAAGTGAATGGTAGCCACTATAATCATTATCGTCGTAATCAAACGGCTTGGTTTTCCAGGGGCCTTGGGACTTGAACTTGGTCTCCTGACATGTGACCCTGCACTTCCCCCTCCACCCCAGGAGGTCGTGTATAAAGACCCTTCCACCTCTCCCACCACCATCTCAGTAGTGATCAACGTCTCTGCAGGTGGGGACCCTGGCCTAACGCGGGGACTCTCCACCCCAACTCCACACCCCCTCAGCCTCTCCCCGAAGGCCAAGAAGGCCAAGTACAAACGTTCCTCAGCACCGAGCGGTCAGCAAGGGCAAGGGCGAACTGGGCACTTACCCCCGCTTGCATTTCTTGTAGACTTTGTAAATGTTCTCTTCAGGGAACCCATACTTCTCAGAGATCTGGAAGAGAAGGGTAGATAATTCACTGCCTGCTACCCAAACTGGATTTATACATCTTTTATGCCATCACTGTTTACTTCCTGATCATAAAAGTAAAGTATATCCATATACGGAAAAGTGCGAAGAAGAAAATTGCAGTCCTCCATAATCCTGTTTCCCAGAGACAAATGCATCAACATCGGGGGTACGCCTTCCTGTCTTTTGGCCACATGAATAGATATTTTTATATTCCACATAGATAGTTTTATGTAACATTTAAAACTTATTATAAGCCTTCCCGTACGACAATAAACACTTGGCAAACAGCATTTTTCATGGCTGAAAAATGCCCTAAAAAGCATCTACCATTTCCCATATTCTGCCTATTGTCAGACATGTGGATTGTTCTAGTGCTAGAGGTGCCACCATTTACCAGCTAGGTGGCTTTGTGCAAATCACATGTGGAGACAGTAATCGTGCCTACCTCACAGGGTTGCTGGAAGAATTAAATTAATTGATCCACGTAAAACACCTAGGACAGCTCCTGGCATGTACTGAGACCTGAGTAATGGGTCATTACAGTTTTAGGAACGGAGCAGCGGGCATGCTTCTTGCCCTGCTACGACGAGGGTAACCCGAGTGTTTCCCCCTTCTGGGCAAGAATTATTAACCTCATTTGATGGGTGAGCATGCTGAGCTCGAAGATAAGCCACGCACCCAAGGCCTAGACCTCAGGTTAATTGACTCAGTCACATCCCAGAATGTGGGGGCTTATTCTACAGATGGGGAGACAGCAGCTCAGAGGCTTGTGGAGTGACCTGCCTGAGCTCCCACAGCCAGAGTCAGCCCGTTTCTCCCCAGAGCTCCTGGAGTGTCCTCTGGGACAGATGGATCCAGTCTCGTCCCAGCTGTACCACCTGGAGGTGCAGAACTTTAAACAGGTCATCTTACATCTCTGAGCTTCAGTTTCCTCATTTGTAAAATGGGCGTAGTAATGGCTTGTATGCACAGGGTGGTTCTGCACATGAACGCGGACGATTATGCAAAGGGCTCAGCCCCCGTGCCTGTCCCCGGGTGAGAGCTCAGTAAATGTTAGGGTTCAGCAGAACTGGCTGCCTGAGGCGCAGCGAACCTCAGGCTACCGGTTTCAGGGGGAAGTGGTCCTCTCTGGGCCTTTTAGGGAGAGGATCAGGTTCAGCTTCGTAGTTATTCTCCGCCTTAACACAGATCCCTCCAGGCAGGGAAAGCTCTTAGACTATTTATTTTAATGGCGATGTGGCTGGAAGCTACCAGGAAGAAGATCTTAAGTCAGTCTAAGGAAGAACTCAGGAACTTTCTAACCATAAATTGAACAGATTGTGCAAACACAGCATGGGCTGCCCGTGAGGTAGGGAGCTCTCCATCCCTGGAAGTATAAAAATCAAGAGCAGGCACCCACTTGGAAGAGCTTTTAGAGAGAGAGCTCAGGTACCAAATGGGGAGCTGACCCTTTAATGTATTGACCAACCCAAAGATTCTGGGTCTATATTCAAGTGACATTAATGGCCTTTTGTGGCCCAATGTCCTAGGGCTGATGCCAGGCAGGGCTGATGATAGGTAAAGAGGACAGGACAGCACAGCAGATGGAGAGAGCTTGGGCTGAGATTCCAGCTCTGTCACTTTAAGCCAAGGAACCCTGGCAAGTCACCTGACCTCTCGGAGGCGGTTTCGTGGGAAATGAGGAGAGAATAATGGCACCCACTTTTCGGGGTCGTTAGAATATGAGGAGGCAGCAAGTGCGGCGTGCCTGGCCAAACGCCTGGCACGTAGTGGGTCTTCAGCCAACGGTAGCTAACGTGATTATTTGATTCATTTTCCCTCCTCCAGCCTGAGATCTTGGCACCATCTGGCCTTTCCGAGTGGTTCAGCCTCCGAGCACAGCTGGCCCCGGTGCAGGCTGTTTGCTCAGTTTTCGGCTGAGCCACAAAGCTGGCTGTGGGTTTTGTTCGCGGCTGGGCTGTTTCTCCCGCTCTCTGGCAGTTTGGGGGGTTGGGGAAGGTTTCCTTGCCCAGACACCGCCTTCAGCCACCCCAGCCAGTGCCCCCCAGCCGACCACAAGCAGGAGGAATGAGGCCCCCTGGGAAAGAAAAAGAGTGTCTCTGGGGCCCAGCCTTTTGGGTTTCATTCCCATTAAAACTGAAACAGGTTTGCAAAGCCAACAAAAAGCCCTGGCCTGTCAGACAGCAGCCATCAGATTAAGGAGGATTTATGGTGTGTGCGACTCCCAGGGTGGAGCCAGGCTGGCAGATAACATCGCAGAGGCACACCCCCACCAGCAGGGCCCCCCCGGCCCCCTAAGCAGGGTGGGCCAAGATTCCTTCCTGTGGGAAATCAGGACCGTGTGGTGAGGAGCGGGCAGCGCAGAGGGGGTTGGCCAGGGCAGGCAGGGGCCGGCAGGCATCTTACCGCATTCCTCAGCCCCTTCAGGTCCGGGGTCTTCAACATGAGGGCGTCGAACACTTCCTCGGTCTCCCGCCGCACATACAACAGGACTGAAAAGCAGAGGGCGGCTCTGAGGGGCGCACGGAGGCTAACATGCCCAGGAACGTCGCAGGGGCTGGGGAATCTAAAGATACTAATTTCTGCTCAGGTCTGTACCCAGCTGGGAGGCACTCCCCCGCTCTGCAGGTCCCCACACACCTTCTTACATGGTGCTGATTTGGGGGGTGACTCCCGCACTCTACGACCTGCCAGTGGATGACCTCGAAAAAGTGATTTTAACATCACGGAGCCTCATTTTACTCATGCGTACAATGGGGGCCCTGCCGCCTCTTTCTTAGAGTGGTTGTGGGAATTAATGATGATATTTGGAAACGCCAAGTGCAGTGCAACGCACAGCTGCCGGAAGCTCTTGATCTCAGCTTCCGGTTGGTTCTTTCCTGATGGTCAGCTACAGCCCCCAGAGGTTTGGGTGTGTCCCCTCCTCCCCAGGAAGTCACAGATTTAGAGGGTCAAGGCTAGAAAGCAAAGAGCGGGGACTTGCCGGCACCATGAACCTGGTGCCTGCGCCAGCTGCCGGCGCACCCATGGTGTCTCCCCAGGGAGCCGGTGCCTGTGTTACCCCCACCCCAAGGCTTGGCCCAAACCCAGCTCCAAAGAGTAAAGCAGCTCCCTGTGGCCTCCTCGGGGAGGCTTTGGGATGGTCCTGTGGGAGGCGGGGGCTGGGCGGGCCCTGCTACCTCTCTGAAGGTCGTCCTCCTTGGCCTGCTTGGAGGGCAGCGGCTCAAACTCCTCAGCGAAGGGCGAGCAGGTGCGCTTCAGTGACAGCCTGTGGGGACGGCAGGGAGGGGCCGGTGAGGAACCCAGGGGTCTCCCAGAGTCTGGGGGCCCTGGAAATGGGGAGGGTGTGTGCAAAGCAGTGGGACAGGCGTGAAGCAGCGGGTCTGCAGCTGGGCTGCCTGGGTGCCCCCAGCCCCGCCACACACTCGCTGGTGACCTGGGTGGGTCCCTAGCCTGCCAGTGACCCCATCTGTGAAACGAGGTGATGATAAGGCGACGACAACAACAGTTCGTAAAGCTACATGAGGCTGAGGAGGTGGCGCGTGCTGCTCTCAGCACAGCGTGTGACACATGGGAGGGCCACAGTGAATGTGGACCGTCATCACCGTCAACACTGCTCTCTTCTGAGAGAATCTGGTCGGGCGTGAGGCAGCGGGAGGAGGAAGGATTGTGGGTTTTGGAGGAAGACAGACGTGGGTTCCAGTCCCGCCGTTGTGACTTAACGGCTGTGTGACTAGAAGGCATGTCACTTCTGTGAGCCTCAGTTTCCCGGTCCATCGAGTAGAGCAATAGCCCGTGCTCGCTGCTGTGAGCTGAGAAGCGACACGTTTGGAGTGAGAGCACCATGTGACCAGTACACGCGGTTTACAGGGAAGAAAGTGACCGTGAGACGCTCGGTCTTCACACAGCCCTTCCCACGCGCAAGGGTCCCTCAGGGCTGCCTCTCGCTCCCCAGGCTGATCTCCTCCTCTGAGGGTTTGCAGGCTGAGGCTCAGAGAGGTGAAGGGCCTGTTAAGGCACAAGGGCTGTGGCTGGCAGAGGGAGGGACACGAGACCCTTCCTAGGCCCCTCCTAGGGCGACGGGTGGGCCTGCGTTGGGGGAAGGAGACGGGGCCTTAACCCCCACGTCCTGCAGCTCAGCTCCCTCGTCACTCTCGAAACTGCGCCGTCACAGAGTCTTTTTCTTTCCCCTTTTACAGGCAGCTGTCTCGCCAGAGATTCGCCAACTTTTCACATAAAACAAACTCATAAAAACCCAGGCAGTTTCAGCGAGACAGGAGCGTGGATCTAGCTTGGGGGCTGGGGGCAGAGTCTGGTGGCTTCTTCCTCTGGCCCCAGGCCCCGGCTAGGGGCGCAGGGGGTCGGGGGGCTGGGGGCGGTGGGGTGGCAGGGGGCACAGGCAGGGAGGGGCGGCCCCCGGCTGCTGCGCTCCTTCTCTCCGTACCTGCTGGAGCCACTGGGTCCTGCTGAGGGGACAGCCTGCAATGAAGAGAAAAACGTGTTTTCATCACACGCAGGAGAGGAGAGGAGCCCTCAGCTGCTGGAGGCTTTCTGGGAGGAACATTCTTTGGCGGGGAGGGAAGAGGATGTTGTTTTGATGCCTTTCTAGCCCATTTCTGCTCCTACGAGTCCCCTTAAGTGACCTGAGATCCTGAGTGGAGAGGAATCATGCAGCCTGCGCTGGGTGAGTCAGGGACTCAGCGAACACATGGGAGGCAGGAAAGCCATGTGGGCAGAGCAGCAGGGCCCACCTGAGCCCGCCTGAGTCCCAGCACGCCCAGAAGGGCTGGCAATTGCAGCTGGGCCTGCAGCTGGTGACCAGGTGTCAGAGCTGAGGCAGAGGGGGTGAGGGAAGAGGTGCTCTTTCTGACACTACTGTGGCCTGCACTGTGTGATCCGGTATGGTCACTGCCAGTCCTGGGAGGCGAGAGGCCTTCCCAGGTAACACACCTGGAGGGAGGCAGAGTCAGGGCTCAAACCCCGGCTCCCTGCTGGCTGCTGCCCTGCCATGCGCTTCCCCATCCGCAGGCTCCCATGTGCAGGGACGGCCCCTCCTCTTTCCCCACAGATTGGCTGTCAATCTGCGCCTCAGGCCTGAGTGGTCATCCCTGCGCGGGGCCTGAGGGGGTGGGAGGAGCCGAGAGAGAAGGGTTAACAGGCCACGGTGCCGCTTCCAGGGCGGAGAGGAGAGGAGGGGCGGTAGGAGGTCCTCTGCATGTGCCAAGAGCTACATTAGCACTGGCTGCTCTTTTCAGCTCCATGATCTACGTCGTTGTCCTAAATCAATACCCTAAACACATCTTGTACGCCAAGGTCTGTTTCTGCAAGCGTTCCCACCGAAACAGTCACAAGCTGTGCCATCAAGGAAATGGTCAGATTGTTCCAAACGGAAGCAAACTGGGAGACAGACTCTGGGGTCTGACTCTGCCACGGACTTGCTGTGGGGCCTTGCCTGGAAAAGGGGACAAGCCCAGTGCTAGGCCGGCTTTGAGGGAGAAGCGAGACAATGAAGCAAAGGGCTCAGCCCGGCCCACTTGAGCAGCTGGCGGCCAGGGGCGCAGGGTCTGAAGCTGGGCGCTAGGCCACACCCTGGCTCTGCCACTAGCTGTGCAGTCTCAGAAGGTTTCCTAACTTCTCTGTGCCTCTATTTCCACCCCACGGATCCAGGGAGAAAATATCACGGGCTCCATAGGGTTGTGGAGATGGTTAAGGGAGCTCATGCCTGGGAAGCACTCAGAGCAGCGCCTGGTGCATAGTGAGCGCTCACGAGTGGTGCCGTGATAATTCGGTGAGACCGCAATCAAATTTGGGGCTCAGAGAGCAGAACCTCCTCCAAGTGTGCCCGAAGCATGAACATTTCTGTGACTGTGAGGTCCATTTCCTCATTAACGTTCTTCTTTTCAACACAAAGGTCACTGAAGTTACATGGCCATATACACATGTTTTAATCCCCTCGGATTCAATAAAGGCATTTCCATTTTGTAACTGGCTGAGTTTGAAACTGGCGGGTTGCTCCCCACTGGTCTGTGCTAAGGCAGGCCCCACCCTGGACCAGACCCTCTCTCGGCCTCTCCCCCAACCCGCCGCCATGGCCCTCACCCCTCCAGGGCGCTGCAGGCTGGAGAAGTGCACGTTGGGGATGAACAGCACCGGTGGGGTCTCCAGGTCAGCCTCTGGCCGCAAGTAGGTGGTCTCATTGCCCCTGAAGCCCGACAGCAGGCAGTCCTTGATGCCTGATGGGAAAAGGAAGCCGATGTGCCCTGGGGTCCCTGCGGTCTCCTTGCCCCTCGAGTCTCCTGCCCTTCACCCCCGCCCAGCCCAGCCAGGCCCTGGCCCATCCCCACTGACCGCTATTGCTGGAGTCTGGGCACTTGACCTTCCTCCGGAACTGCTTCCTCTCATCATCCCGCATCTTCCTCTCGGCTCCCTGCGGGGGAGAAGGAGGTGGGGTCACCGGAGGGCCGGGGGGGGGTTGGTTCCTTTCCCACTGGTTGTTTTGCTTTTTATTGGGCCGTTTTCTGGTCCTGCTTTTTTCCAAGAGCGAGCCCGGCAAATAGGAAGGTACCAGCACCTGGCCCAGCCCGGCCCTGCCTGCCTGAGGTGTCAGTACAGGAGGGGAGAAGGGGAGAGAGATGGCGGGGAGAGAGATGGGGAGGAGGAGGAGGGAAAGAGGGAGAGAGAAGGAGGAGTGGTGGTGGGGACAGAAAGAGAAGCAGAGAGAGACAGACACGCCCAGAGAGGCTGGGAGGAGGCGAGTGTCGGGGCTTGGCTCCTCTCCCTCCCAGGGCCCAGCGGAGCGCCTGCTGCCCCAGCCACCTTGTCACAGAAGATCTTGATCTGGCAGACAGCACGGTGTACCAGGCGTTCAGTGCCTGAGCCACAGTCATAGGTATCAATCTGCAGGTTCAGGGGGACACCCTTCACCCCCTTCTGTGAGGAGAAGTCTGTGCTCAGGCAGTTGACTCCAATGAACACCTGGGGACGGAAGGAGGAGCTGGGTAAGTGGCCCGCCCAGGTCTCCTGCCCCGCTATCCCACAATTCTTTTTGCGGCTTCTGTGTGCCTGGTGAGCACCCTCAAGCCTTACGCAGCCCCTGGAAGACAAGCTTCACCACCCCTCTCCTACAGATGGGGAACGGATGCTCAGAGAGGTTGGGCAGCTTTCCCAAGGTGACACAGCAGTGTGCGGTAGAACTGAGACTCAAACCCAGCCCCTCACCACCAGGCATACAGCTCCCCCAAGATTGCCAAGGGCAGCCCAGTCGCTGGGGCCCTCGAAGGGATATCAAAGGTCCTTTAGGAGCTTAAAATCCAGAGGCTCATTCTTCTGCAACTCAGAGCAAGGAGGTGGAAAAGGGCCAATCCCTCGTCCCTGCTTTGGAGACCACTTTCCTGCTGGCCCAGAGACTCGGAGGGTAGGACACGGCCCCTCTCTACCCCACCCATCTGCTCCACGCATCACTGAACCCTCTAGCGAGAGGTTCTTTCCACGCATTCTATCCCACCCATGCATGGCGAGGGAGCTCTCCCGTCACCCCCACTTTACAGCTGGGAAAACGGAGGCTCTGAGCAGGGACATTCCCCGAGGGGAGTCAGGCTGGGTGGGCTAACAAAGTGAGCCTGGAAGTGAGGCTGCCCAGACCTGGGACAAGAAGCTGGACTCAGCCGCTCACTAGCCATGTGGCTTTGGACAAATCCTGTAACCTCACTCAGCCTTATTTGGAAAGTGGGGACCATGAAACCTATCTGTGCGGCCATGAGGTATGGAGACCGCCTAATGTGCTGCACGTGTTGTGACCGTTGTCACGAGAGGGATAGCTGGAAGTCAAGTCTCACCCCAAAGCCTGTGCCCAGCTGATGGTAGTGCTGGCAAGGTCACCTGGTGACTGTCTACCTGCTGGCCCTCTCCATGGAGCTCCATGGGACCGCCCCCTCCAGGCTGGCCCCTGGCCTTTGGGACATTTCCCTTGGAAATGACCCTCACCGGAATAGGAGGCGAGGTGCAGTGCCTGAGCAGACCCCCTTCCTTCCCCGGCTTTGGGGGCCAGGCCCCCAGGCGCATGCCGGACATACCTCCCCTCCGCCAGCTCAGCCCTCGTGCAGCCCCCACCCAGCTCAGCTGCACCTGAGAAAACTCAAGCCTGGGGGCTTAAGAGACTGTGAGAAAATCCCCACCGAAACCCACCTCTCCCTTCCCACGAAACTCTTCCCCACTCCCTGAACCGGAGGCCCCAGCTCCTCCTCCAGCCGCTGGCATCTGTTTGAATAATAATAATCCCTGCCTTTGTGCCTTCCTTTGCGTTGTCAGAGCTCTCTCCCCTCCACTTTCTCCAGGCACCCTGCTGTCCCCCGAAGCAGGCAGGGAGGCAGGGGCTAGTTCCCAGCCATCCAGGCCAGAAATGCCCTGGAGATGAGCTGAACCCAGCCTGGCAGGTGAAGTAAGCCTGGGCCAGGGAGGAGAAAGGACAGGCCCAAGGCCACTCAGCTCCCGACTGCTAGACTAGTGCCCTTCCCATGATGCCAACTCTCTAAACAGGAAACCAAGACAGAGCTGGGCTCAAGCACTAAGGCTGGAAGAATCTTCACGGCTTAACTACCGGTGTGAACAAATGGCCAGAGGCCCTGTCTCGCAGGCCTCTCTGATGGGCCTGCCACTGTTCTGGTCTCTCCGACATGCATGATCTTGTAGAATCTTCGCCACATCCTAGCAGGCAGATTACTGTTCCTATCTTGTGGGCTCAGAGAAGTGAGGTCACTGGGATTTGAGCCCTCATTCACCAGGTTCCTTAGTATCTCCCCTGCAACCTTCTGCACTGACTTAGAAGTCAGAAAACCTGGGTGCTGTCAGTGACTTGCTGTGCGACCTTGCACAAGGCTCAGTTTTGCCGTCTGGTAAATGGGTGGATTGATTTAATCCCCACAGCCACCGTTTATGTGCCAGGCGTGTGCCCTACCTTTTACCTTCCTTGCCTGATCCTCATGACAACCTATCAGATGGTGCTTTGATGCCACTCCTCTTTTACAGCCAAGGAAACTGAGGCTCCGAGGGACTAAGCACTGGTCCAAAAATTCACACTGTAGACCAGTAAGTGGAAGGACTGGGATGCGGACCAGCCTGTCTGGCCCCAGAGCCCTGCTTCCACCCTACTCTATCCTGGCTCCTCCGTGAGTGCTCTCTTTGGAGCGAATGCCACAATCCCAGGCACGGGCAAGCCTTTCGCCCAGGATGGGGGCTTCAGGGCAGCCCAGTCCCATCCCAGACGCTGCTCCCAGCACCGACCTTGGCCTCCTCATTCACGTTCCACACGAAGGACAGTGCATTGTAGGCCACCTCCTCAATGTGCTGCACCGTGTTGAAGTTTTCTTTGCAGTCAGCTGGAACCACAGGAGACCAGAGGGAGAGTCAGGAGGGAAGGGTTTGGGGGCGCTTTGAGGACGAGGCGTTTAGGAACTGGGCCTCGCTCTAGGCAGGGGCATGCGTCCTTCCCCCAAGAGCGACACTTCAATTCAGAGAGGAAAATGGGAGACTGTGCCCTGGATGGCAGATGGGAAAATAGGTCTGGCCTGGGAAGCAGATCTGCCCAAAGCCACTACTGGGCTCACCCGTTTGGGGCAGAGGTTATACTTTTTGCTGGGATTATGATTTGGTTCTCCCAGATAAAGCAGCAGCAGCAGCAGCAAGAACAGTACAATAACAGTGGTAAGAGAAGTAGCACCGGCAGCCGTGAAAGTGGCAGTGCCAAACATTTATAACACGCCAGCCCTCGGTTAATCCTCACAGCTCCGCTGTGAATACTCAGTTCATGCATGAGAAAACTGAGGCTCAGAGAGGTCTGGTTATTGGCCTAAGGTCTCACAACTAATTAAAGTCAGAGCGAGGCCTGGGGCTCAGCCCTGTCAGGCTGCTGAACCCACCCTCCTAACTCCTCTGCTCTCCGGCCTCTAGGATGGGTCACTGAATAGTCCCCTATTTGTCCCACGTTTTCCAGCACACACGGCTCTGGAGCAGAAATCAGCACTGCATGCAGGCAGGGAGCTGGCCTCGTTCTGTTTGACACTTGGACAAACTGAGGCTCAGGAAGGGGAGGTGACGTAGGTCACATAACCAGGAAGAGAGTGATATAGAGCTAGAGGCTGAAGACTTGAGGGGAGGCTGAGCCTCCCACCTGCTTCAGGGCTCAGGACGGGGACACACAGGGAACCTTTCCTCTGCCCCTACCTGTGGACAAAGCCCGAGGGTCCCAGCTCCCAGAGCAGAAGGCTCTAGTGCTAAGCCTGAAGCTCTCCAAATCCCAGGCTGCCTACACTGTTATCTTGTGCCTTTGTGTCTCCAGCGGCCCCCTGATGGGGACAACCGGCCCAGCATCTCAGGGGCCTATTTATCTGACACTATCCGGGTGCCCACGGCCCTGTTTATCTCAAAGCAATACAGAAAAGAGGCTGCTGCTTCTAGTCAACAGATGCAAATCCCTGCAAACCCCGCAGTGTTTGACCTGGAGACAGAGGTCACAGGGGGCTGGGGAAAAGGGGTGCAGCAAGAAAGAGGCCTGGCTGGTGTGGGAGGGAAAAGGAGAGAGACTGGGAGGGGGACAGGCTCTCACCCACGTCGATGACCCGCTGCTTGGCGGTGGGCTGCCGGGAATGCCAGTGCTTCCAGAACCGCAACTGCTCTACTGGGACCTTCTCGTTGTCGAAGACAACCATCACCACACTCTGCAAGCACAGCAGGTCACTGTCACCCCCGGCCTCAGGAGAAACCCAGGCAGTCCCAGTCCTTTCCCAGAGCCTAGGTCCAGCGGCCCTGCCCTTTTGCCTCAGTTTCCCTGCCCCATGGCAACAGGCTATTATCAAACAGTGGATCCCTGGGGGCCCTGGCTGGCCCGATCAGCAGGTGTGTCCTGCCCCATTCCACCCTCTCCCCAAGCTGCTCCAGGGCCAACGCACCTTCACTTTGTTGGAGGACAAGGCAAGGCCTTTGCCACCTGCTGGAGTCCGCAGGGTGACAGGGTAGAACTGGCCCTTGTTGAGGTAGGCCATGGGCGACTCGCCTGACTTGATGTGGATGGCTTTGGGGGAGCCCAGGGTGTATTCGAAGTCACTGTGGAAGAGGGGGAGGACAGTGAGGCTGGGCTCCCAGGGCGAGGTGGGGCAGGAAGCCTGAGGCTACGTTAGGGGCTTGCTGTGTGACCTTGGTAAGTCACTTTACTTCCTTGGGCCTCAGTTTCCACATTTTGGAGGTTCTATTTAATGGTTTTGTTGAGGCACATCCTGCTGAATGAGGGCCCAGTGAAAACCGGAGGGACCCTGAGGGGTGACAAAGCCACAGGGGAAGCTAATGGCAATAGAACCTCAGTTGTTTTTTTTTTTTGAGACAGAGTCTCACTCTATTGCCCTGGTTAAAGTGAGTGCCGTGGCGTCAGCCTAGCTCACAGCAACTGGGCTCAAGCGATCCTACTGCCTCAGCCTCCAGAGCAGCTGGGACTATAGGCATACGCCACCATGCCTGGCTAATTTTTTCTATATATATATTTTTAGCTGTCCAGATAATTTCTTTCTATTTTTAGTAGAGACGGGGTCTCGCTCTTGCTGGTCTCGAACTCCTGACCTTGAGTAATCCACCCGCCTCGGCCTCCCAGAGTGCTAGGATTACAGACGTGAGCCACCGCACCCGGCCCAGAACCTCAGTTTTCTAATAGGGTGCTGAGCTCTGAGCTCCCTGACAGGATCCAGGAAAGGGACGTGGAAATCATTCTCTCTCCTCTCATCAGCCTTCACTCACCGCTTTTCATGCAGTGATTTTGCCTGCTCTGCTCTGGGCACAGTTTGGGGCTCCGTCTGTAGCCTAGTGCCCAGGTGGCCAACTTACCTTTTGAGGCTCGGATAGTCCTCTGGACACTGGGGTTCTGGGGATGTTTTCAGGATATCTGGGAAGAGCAATGACTGCAGAGAAACAAATCACAAGAGAATAAATGGCCATAGTCAGGCTGCAGGGCCTCTCAGCCCAGGGCTGCATATACAGCTATGCAGGTTGTGCAGTACACAACTTGGACAACAGTACATGGCAGCCCTGCCTCAGCTCTAGGACTCTTTCTTCCATGGATTCCAAAGCCCTGACCTTTTCACTATCTTCTCTCCTGCACATGCACGAACATATCCACACTATGAGTGGTACGAAGGTGGGCTCTCACCTCCTGTGGGTCATCTTTGAAAGTGCTGTCTGGCTGCCAGCGCTGCGTGGGCGGCACCCCATGAATGCTCTCAAACAAGGAGTTGAGGGAGCCATTATCATACATATCACTGGTGGGCAACAGGTAGCTGTCCACAGAGCCAGCCTCCAGCTTGCTGGGGCCTGGTGGGAGGGGGGCTGCCTTGCCAGGGGTGGGTGTTGCCCCCTCCAGGCTCATCAGGTTATTCTTCTTGAGCAGATCCGGGTACTCTGGGGCTCCGGACACACTCTCTGTCAGGAATTTCATGAGGTGCGTGGGGCTCTCGAGGGGGGCGAGGTCTGTCTCATATTCCATGCCAAGGTAGTGCCTGGAAAGAGAGAGGAAGGACTGACTGAGTAAACTTCTTCTCTCTGGGGACAGAGGGGGTCCCTGGCTAGCCTGGGGGACCCCACACAGACACACTGACCTTCTTTGATCCAATGTAACGTTTCGGCCCACCCAACATGCGTGAAGCAAGACACTGCAGCAGGCCAGCGAGTCACGGGGATGAGCAGGGAGGAGGGTGTCAACAATGGAACCAAGTAGAGGCTTAGGGTTAGGGGGAAACATCTGATTCACCCATTATAGTACTTGCTAATTTAAAAAAACTAAAAGTCTAGCCATCTACTTCTCAGCCACAGTCAAATGTCCCTGTTTCAAAATGTTCCCACTTCAAAACAACTGTATTGAGTCATGCCATGGGGGTGTGTACAGGCTCAGGGGCAGTGTGCATCTGTGCGTGCAGTTAATATGTGTTTAGAAAAAGATCTGGAAAGATGTACCCCAAACAGTTAAGGTAGACAGGGGTATAGGATTACAGGAAAATTTTACTTTTTACTTCACACGTTTGTATAAGTTTGAATCTTTTGCAAAAAACAGGTATTCTTTTATAATCAGAAGAGCTAATAACTTTTCTAAAAATTAGTTCTGAGAAAGGCCCCCACTCTTCCTGGCGGTGGGGGGAGTGACCCTGAGCCAGCCGCACGCTTGTGCTGGCTTACCAGAAGAGCTGCAGCACCTGCATTAGCAGTCTGGATTTTCCAGAAGGCAGAGAGGGGCCCAGAAGGCTTCCCACCAGAGGCCCTACGCGTCATTTTTAAGAGGTCACCCAAATGGCCGGGAAGAAGAAAGTGGAGAAAGAGGAGCAAGGTCCTTGCAGTGCCCATCTAGCCATGAGCATGGCCTGGCCTGCTTTCTAAAGGAAAGGAACACTGGTGCCCCGAGGCTCTGATGCCAGGCAGACGCCCAGTAAGCTGGGGAAGAAGTACGGGAACCCAGATATCCCCTCCCCAAGAGGCTGCAGGGAGGAGGGTTTTGGAGCTGGGACAGAAAAGCTGCCTCCAGGGCTTTTCCACTACTAAGGCTTTGAAGTTTGTTTTCAGTAAACTCAGGCCCACATGGCCTGCAGGCACTTGAGAGACAGAGTGTGTGTGTGAGTGTGTGTGTGTGTGTGTGTGTGTGTGTGTGTTGTGTTCTAGCAGAGTTTCATTATAACTTTCATGGTGTGTGTGTGTGT